TTCCAAAAAAAGACTTTAGTATGAAAAAACATAAAAAAGTACACTAATCAAAGTATTTGCCATCGCTTGCTATTATTTTTTCCCATCTGTCTGGCAGTTGTTGCATTCCGTGACGGAAAAACGACTCGTCCTTCGAAGCGATCCATTCATTGAGCCATTTCTCTATTTCTTCATAATTGTTGAAGTGTTGGTCCGAAAGCCCGTGTGCCATCGATCTGAACAAGTGATAATCGGATGGAGCAATGTCTAGTGAATACGGCGGGTGAGGTAAAACGTCCCAGCCAAGTGCTTCCAAGGTGACCTTCACAATCTTTCCAACATGTGACCGAGCGTTATCGTGCTGGAAGATCACTTTGTCGTGTCTCTTTGCATATTCCGGCCGCTTATTCTTCAATGCGTTATTTAAACGGATCAATTGTAGTTGGTAAAGTTCGGCAGTGATGGTTTGGCTCTGTTTTAATAGTTCATGATACACTACACCATTCTGGTCCCACCATATACAGAGCATTACTTTCTTGCCGTGAATATTCCGCTTTGGTATCGATGTGGATGGTTTTCCTGGGTCACTAATGAATTTCCTTCGTTTGGGATTATCGAAATATATCCACTTTTCGTCTCCAGTCTCAATACGATGCAAAAAACCTTTTCTTTTTTGCCTGGCAAGCAAGATTTCAGACATGGCTTTTCGCCTCTCGATGTCTCTTTCTTTCAGTTCATATGGCACCCATTTTCCTTCTTTGTAAATCTTTCCCATGGCTGCCAAACGCACAGAAATTGTTGATCGATCAATATTCAACAATTGCACGAGCTCATGTTACGATTGACACGGATCTTCATCGATTAGCGCTTGCAATTCCTCGTCCTTGAACTTCTTCGGCTGACCTGGACGAGGTTTGTCATCGACACTGAAATCATCACTTTTGAAACGTCAAAACCATTCTCTGCATGATTTATCGATGGGAGCACTTTCACCATAAGCTTCTACGAGCATTCGATGAGCTTTAGCGGCTGTTTTCTTCAAATGAAAACAGGAAATGAGAACTTCCCGTAAATGATGCTTTTTTGGCTCGAATTTCGACATTTTCGAATCAGATAAACACGATGTTATTGTTACAAACCCAAACATTTATTAACTGAATATTATTGCCAGATATCAAAACTAAAAAATAAAGCCTTTTGCAGACACTAGAGGTTAGAAAATTACATAGTACAGCAATTGACCGCCAGATGGACCGAATTAATTCACACACCTAATATGATAACTATAGTATCTAGCGGTAGATATGAATATATTGAACTTTGAACCCTGAATTTTAAACTTGTCGCTAGGCACAATACCCGTCATATAATTGTAGGTTAAGTCATTCTGAATAAAAAAGTCTTTTGCCATTTTGCAAAGAAGTGCGCACATTTTCAAGTTATCAATTAAAAGAGCCTTTAATGATTTTCAATCATTAATAACTTGATAACTATTTTGCGATTTTTGCAAAATGATACTTGACTTTTCTTCTCAGCTTAGTCTAATTAATCTTCACAATTTTTCTTTTCCAAAAGATGCCAGACACCCTGTATAAGACATATGCATACATGCAAACGTAACGTTTCGAAATATTGATTGAAAAATAAACAATATGTTTGATCGTAAGATACAAAGCAAATTTTACGTGTCCGCGCATGAAAAATCTAAAATAAACGCGCGACCTCGTACGATCTCCAATAACCTATATAGATACTTTTAGTTTTGCGGCCGCGTTACCAGAACGAGACTAGCGAACAGGAGGTATTGAGCCATAAAAGAGAAAGAAGGCAAAAATAAGGAGCACCATTTGACCTTGGGGAATAGAACATCCGATAGAACAAACGAGAAAACTCTGATGCGGTCACTATCCTCATGAGACAGGACGGCGAAAGATAAAGCGGACGTGGAAAACTTTGGGGATGCCGCCCCTTCTCTTCCTTCTCTCTCTCTCTCTCTCTCTTTCTCTCATTCTCTCTCTTTCTCTCATTCTCTCTCTCTCTCTCTCTCTCTCTCTTCGTCTTTTTGCGAATTATTGCACGAATAGCGCGTATTATATAAAATCATCAGTTCGTGTAATCAGTCCCAAGTACACGAAAATCATCAACGATTGCGCGAGCCGAGCAACCGTATTATTTTTTATTACAAGTGTTATTCTTATTACAATTATCCATATCTGGCGCTCTTTTCCTCGCCGATGAACTCTTTCCTACGAGGGGGCGAAAATTCTTAATTATCGCATCTGCGCGCAGTAACGCGATATCTCTCGACCTTATCCTCAGATCTTCATTCTTCCCGAATGAAAAGCCGACGAGGGAAATCTCAGGCGGAACACGCGAACGCAACGAGAACGCGAGCGCGACTTGAGCAAATCTAACATCCGCTCGGTCCATTTTACCCACTCCATGTCCACTTTGTTCACTTTGTCGGTAAACTATAAAATTGAAAACCGACTCGTTCGCATTTGCGGTGACATTTTTCCACGGTTGGTCGCTTCGGCGAATATTGAATTATTTGCTTTATGGCCAAGAGCTATCGAAAAACCGTTTAACCACCTGGATCCTCTCTCTCTCTTTTTTCCTCTTCTCATCCCCTTCTCTCTCTCTCTCTCTCTCTCTCTCTCTCTCTCTCTCTCTCTCTCTCTCTGCCTCTCTCTCTCTCTCTCTCTCCCCCTCTCTCTCTCCCTCTCTCTCCCTCTCTCTCTTTCCCATTCAACGTGGGGTTGTCTCTTCGACCGCACTATTCGCACGATTCGGCGCAAAGCCAGGAGAGTACATGGGGTATGAGCGTGAAGTGTAAAGCTTGTCGCTGATCCGTAGCGACCTTTAAAGGGAAGCAACGAGCGCGGAGAAACTGGTTGCGTTTGAAGTGAAACCGATCGATCGATTGTCCCTAGGACGACGACAGGAGAGCTCGTCGTCGGATAAAAGTACCACGGCTAATTTTCGCGGGAGACGAACGTGAAACAACGGCCGTTTCGCGAAAATTTATGCCGCAAACTACGCGGCGAAACATTACATGGAGGGAATGTCGCGCGGACGGATAGAACAGCTGTGCGCGCGAGATCTTTTTTCCCGCATTAAGTATTAGGTATGTGTGTGTGTGTGCGCGTGTGTGCGTGTATGTATGTGTATGTGTGCGCACGGGTATTAAAATATATAGAGTGTATAAAAAGTATCAAGACAGTGAAATATCTAAAAAATTAAGCATTTTAGAAAAAAATATTTCAGACAAAAGTTGTATGGTTTCAACGGGGATATAAAACAACTATATCGTTTTGTTTCCAGATAACGCCACTTTCGAGATATTCACCGATCATTACTTTTCTTAGATAGAAACTCATTTTTTATTATATCATCTTTCTCCGTCAATTAATTTGGACAACTTTTATCTGAAGCATTTTTTTACTTGCCTAATATTTTTTAAGGAAAATTTGGTAACTTTTCAAGATTTTACTTACGATATTTCGATAATGATTTGTCGGAAGAGAAAATGGTACTAGACTTTTTTACTCTATTTGGTCTCAAGAACATATTCTTACAATAGCGTCCTGACGTTTATTAATTTCGTGATTTTGTAATTTTCAAAAATCGACAAGTTAACAAAAGTTAGGGCATTATTGTAATAATATATTCTTGAGACTAAATAAAGTAATAAAGTCTAGTATCACTTCTTAACAAATTCTTTTTCTAACTTAATTTTTCTAACTTTAACTTGTTCTAAGAAATAGTAAACGAGAAATTAACAAAAGTTAGGGCACTATTATAGTAATATGTTCTTGATAGTAAATAAAGTAAAAAAGTCTAATACTATTTTTTCTTTCGACAAATAGCGAGATATCGTAAGTTAAATGTTGAAAAAGTTACCATGTTTTTCTTAAATATCTCAAAAACATTAGGCAAATAAAAAAATATTTCAGACAAAAGTTGTCCAAATTGATTGGTAGAAAAAGATGATGAAAAACTGGGATTTCTATTTAAAAAAAATAATAATTTGAAGTGAATATGAGTGAATATTTCGAAAGTAGCGCCACCTATAAACAAAATGATATAGTTGTTTTATATCCCTTTTGAAACTTTGCAACTTTTGTCTGAAGCATTTTTTTCTAAAATGCTTCGAGTTTTCGAGATATTTCGTCGTCTCGGTACTTTTGTATCACACACCCTGTATATTCCATAATATTATACAGGGAAGCTACATTTTCAAACACGAATTTTTTCAAATGCGCACACTTTCGTTTAATTTTAGGGGATGTATTGGCTTGCAAAAGTTCGTACGATCATCAATGATGATTTCAATGGCGATTCAATAAGTAACGGTTAGAAAAATTGGCAAGTTTTGTTGCTAAATAAAGAAAATACGACAAAGATCCCGATAAACTTTTGCAAATTCTCGATATTTCAGCATTCGAACGGACGAATATAAAAAAGAACTTTAATCGTATTTATTCCTAGGAGCGTCAAATCCTCTGTCCTGCTCGGAAGATAAATTAAACAATTGGTCCACTAAAGTTCCGAAACAGCGTTCCGCGATGCTAATGATAATCAATTACTTCTCATTCCTCCTGCATCCAGGAGCTCGCAAACGACTCACGAACACGAAACTCGTTAATTCTTCCATAACAAAAGGCACGAAGTACTCTTGGCACGAGAGTACAACACGTAATGGCAAAGCGCGCGACGACAAATCAGGATAATCGAACGTAAAATTCCGCCCGTGTGAATTTGCCGCTTCGTCCCCGGAAATCGACTCTCGTTCGATCGCAGGACACGTACATGTACATTCGCGTGTGTGCATGGGTGGATGTGAGAACGTGTGTGTTTTTATATTTGATCAAGGGAGGGAAACCGCAGCGATTTTGTACATTATGGGTGTGTAAAACCCATTCATTCGACGCCGCCTCTCGATCCCCTTTATTCCGGCGAGTCTCGCCGCCATCGACGACGCACGATGAAAACGATGATCGCGATTATTCTGTTTTCAGTATATTTCCGGGATGGGAACGGGCGGGCAGGCGAGCAACGTGAGCTACAGCAGCGTCAGTCAGAGCAGCGACGGCGGTGCATATACGACCGGAAGTGGACCCCCCGGCGGAGGTATCTGACGTCATACATCGGCCCGATCAGGGCCGCGTCGAGAGCGGGCGATCCGATTCCGCGACGCATGATTGTAAGCCGTGGCCAAAAGAAGAAGGAAAATGTTCTCTCTCGCGAGGAGCCGAGAGAATTGAGCTCCTGCTAGCATCGACAGCGATCAACGCCAACGTCTCCGGCGAAATAATGCCGGGGAGGAAAGTGAGGTGCGCTCGAAGGAGGCCCGGAATGAATAAAATCCGCCATCGTCACAAACCGGATGTCCGACGCGGGTCGTGACGAGCGCGAAGTGGACCACGGGAGAGTATTCTCGCACTGTGTACATGGAGAAACGCGACTTGGCGACTGAATACGAGAAAAAAAACGCTGAAGAACGAAGCATGTACTTAGCGTACAACATTCTCGAAGGATTCCCCGCGATTAAAGTCTGCTTGCTTGACGTTCGTGACGTGTCAGACGCAATCGCGATTAATCGATTAAGCGATTAAGCGAGCGAGTGACCTGCGAGTGTGCGCGTGTATCCATATCGCGCGACATCCTGCGAGAAGGAAGGAAGCAGGAGATGAATGAACGAACGAAAGGAGTTTATAAAAATCAACGTGTGAAGCAAACCGGTAGCGACTCAGTCAGCCGCGAGTCGTGCCGTGACAGACCGAACACTTCTAGGTGTCTCCTCCATGTTAGATCGTACAGGAAAAGGTGCCCTTTTCACACGTGAAATTCGAGTTCAACACGCGACTTCGTTGCCCAAAGACTGGTTGCATCGATGTGAATCAACGCTACCTCCAAATCGATTCAATCGTCTTAGAGCCGTTTATATCATAGAATAGAAGACACGACGAATGAAAAACAGTGAATCTCATCTTCCGGATTAATTATCCAACACTATGGGCGCGACTCTAGATAATTGTGCAAGACCAAGCTCTAGATCACCTACGTGAAATTAGATAAATTCAACAGGACTTCCTTATTAGCAAGAATGGCGAAGATAAAAGTGTCAAACGTGAAATTGCACAATCAGATCTATACAAATCGAATATACAAATCGAAATCGCGTCTCTCTTTCTCTTTCTGTCTCTCTCTCTCTCTCTCTCTCTCTCTCTCTCTCTCTCTCTCTCTCTCTCTCTCTCTCTCTCTCTCTCTCTCTCTCTCTTCTCTCTCTCTCTCTCTCTCTCTCTCTCTCTCTCTCTCTCTCTCTCTCTCTCTCTCTCTCTCTCTCTCTCTCTCTCTCTCTCTCTCTCTCTCTCTGTTTTTCTCCCTTTAAAAATGTGCATGTACAGGGTGTAACAGCAACATACAGATCAATATGACGGGTTGCTTCCTCCTATTCGGATGATAATGCAGAGGTTTCCGAAAAATGTCATTCGTTGACTTTGTTGATAATGATATTTGCCGTATTCCCAGTTATGACAAATGCAACTAACTTTGCATCGTGTTCGTTATGACAGTTTATCGACCGTTTACTGACAGGAGTCGAGCCTCGTTGAATTAGAAAAAATATTTACAAAATAAAACTGAGAAATAAATATTACGGAATAAAGCAGAATAAGTAAGAGTAATATTTAAAGAAATAACTAATACAACATATTTCTTGGTTTTGCATAATTTCTTAATTGTTTTCTCACGTTGGAAAGTTCGAAATTGGAAATTAGGAAGAACGATACAGAAATATTTAAAAATCTTATATACTGTATTTCATCCATGTTTCTATAGAAAATCGCTTTTGCAAAAGTATGAATAGATTACAAACGCAATATACATATTGGTTGCAATTTAATCGACCGCAACTATCAAACTGCAAAAAATTTCGAAAAACAGGCCCTATTTTCGATAAAAGATACGAGACTATAATGGCCCTATAGATTATAAAAGGCCCTATTTTCGATGTCAAAATACAAGACTATAATGTACCGAAAATTTGTCGCTTGATAATTACGGTCGATTAAATTGCAACCAATATTTATACTGTGTTTCTAGTCCATTCATACTTTTACAGAAGCGATCTTTCGTAGAAACATGGATGAAATACAGTATGTAAAACATTTAAATATTTTGTATTGTTCTTTCTAATCTTCAATTTCTATCGAACTTTTCAACGTGAGAAAACAATTAAGAAATTATGCAAAACCAGGAAATATGTTGTATTATTTATCTCTTTAAATATTATTCTTGTTTATTCTGCTTTATTCCGTAATATTTATTTCTCAGTTTGATTTTTTAAACATCTTTTCTAATTCAATGAGGCTCGACTTCTGTCGATAAACAGTTGTTAAACTGTCATAACGATTACGGTGTAAAATTAATTATACTTGTCATAACTAGGAGCACTGCAAATGTCAGTATCAACAAAATCAACAAGTGACTTTTTCAACCTCTACATTATCGCCCAAATAGGGGCAAGTAACCCGTTATACTGGGCTATATGTTGATGTTATATCTGTACAGGTAGTTTTACGAGAAATAAACAAAAAAATATATACATACATATATACACACGCGTATATACCACGTAGGCGCGCGCGGTTGTTTATGTATGGAAAGAGAAAGTGAGAGAGAGAGAGAGAGAGAGAGAGAGAGAGAGAGAGAGAGAGAGAGAGAGAGAGAGAAAGATAAAACTAACCTTAAAGATGAGAAAAAAGTTAGAGGAAGGAAGTTTTGCTTTTGACTTACGACCGTTGCGCTTAATACAATGGTGCGAAATTTTTTTGGATGAAAGGACTTTTGAGCCCTTTTCTTTCAAAGTCACCTAGACTTTATTAAACTTTCGCAACGTGCGCTTTTTTCGTGGCAGCGTCACGGCATATATTGGTCAATCTACTTCTTATTTTACCTTACTTCGTTATACCTCAAGCAAGGTATCGCGCAGTTCTCTTTCCGGTAATCAAGAAGACTATCGAGCATTCCTGCCATAAAACAGAAATATGTACTGTTTCTCTCCTGTCATAATAAAAATAAAATAAAATAAAACATTCTCTCGATTTCGGTAAATTTGAATATTCGTGGAATATTCATAAGAACAACTACAAATAACGCGTGTACGAAGATTGCTTAGGGAAGCAAATATAAAATAATTGGTTTATGATTTTAACACAACTTTAAACTTTTCAAACTTACCTCGGCGCGCTATAATAATTCTGTTGAAGGAGAAACGATATCTCTCAACTAAATGAAGAGAAGAAATCGTCTTGTAAATTAACAAATATTTCATCGTCGACAACAGCCGATATCTATTCGCGTAATGACAACTTCGACGCTAAAAAATGTTTCGACCTCTGACTTTCTTTTCCGTCGTTGCACTTTGCGACTTCGCGACTTTGTGTCTTGTCCACTTTTCGCGTGGAACACTTCCTATAGATATACCTTGACAAGATCTACTTGAAATCATATATTCGTACTCGCATTAGCATCTCGCGATTAGATTAACCTGTCGCGAGACTAATCATTAATGAGAACCGTTTAACGCCTTACCGAAAAACTTTATTAGTGATATCCGATCTAGTTAATGAATATTTTGTTAAAATTTATATTACGCAAGTGACCAATTGAACGATTTTAGGCGAGCGAAAGCAATATATCGACAAGATCTCGGCGCGAGAAATCATTACCATTCGCATCTAATCAGACGAAAACAAGGACAAATCGTCTCTTTCATTATCGTCTGGCGAGATGACTATTCCAGTCATAATGGTATATATACACGTATATGTTGTATGCAGCCGACAATATTATTATTCGTTGATCGAACTTTACGGTACTAGTAGTGTTTGGTCGTCAATTTACCACACATATGCAGCCAGTGAACAAAAGTGCGCAAGGTTATATTTAAACAAAGTAGCGAACGCCTAAACGAATTTTACTTCTTTCGTACAGAAATCTCCTCCCCTCTCTTTTTCTCTCTTCCTTCCCACGTCCCTTCCTACTCTCACATTATTCTGCCCATTCTTCCTCCCTCTTCACTCTTTCTCCGCCATCTTACATCTCATTCATCATTTTTGAACAGTTACTCCTACAGTTTTCATTTCTTTTCATGCAGCATATTTCATGGTGGAGAAATAATAACGAAATTCTGGCGGAAATATTTCATGAGATATCATGACACATACGACAAGTGGGATACATGCACATAACATAACGCATGATCAAAAAAAGAGAAATCAATGACAAAGTTACATAGTTACGTTGTCACTTTTTTTAAGAATCCAAAGAATTATAGTTTTCTTCCTTGGTTGTAAATACCATCTATAAGTACCGAAATACTCGAATAAATAGGAAAAGAATATTAGTTTTTAATGAATATAGTCTTGTATGTACAGAGGTACAGAGTTTATCTAGATTCTCAAAACTGCACCTCCAGAAACTGTGTCTATAACGTACTGTCCTTTATAATAAAATAGTAATATTATATATATCAACGAGTAATTATTACATATATCACCATATCTTTCACTTTTATGTTTCAAATTATTGTGTCATATCTCGAACGGAGATGAATTCTCCCATAAACTACGAAAGCAACAGATTGTTTTATTTATAAAAATACATCGATATGTCATTGTTCATTAACCATTTTAAAACTACTAACGATCTCAGCAGATTCAAAATAGTAAAAGAAGCTGCGGTACAGCCATCTGTAGTTGCAACAATGTAGCAATAGCCTAGTTTCAACATAGAGACACCAGATGGAGCACTAAACGCCATGGGCGCCGCCATAAACATAGACTATGGCCGATATCTATAGGCCGGTATTCATAGTCGGATCTTATATCGGATCTTATAAGAATGTCTTAAGTTTATTTTCAGATGCTGTATAAATTACTTCATTGGCTACGGAGTATCTGAAGGTGAACTTAAGACGGTCTTAAATATAAGCCTCGACTATGAATACCGGCCATAGACATAGTCACAGACTTCTATATTATACACTAGATAACTTGTCTCTTTAACTTGTCCCCTAAAAATATGTATTAAAATTTCATTCGCATGCACATTACAAGGTTCCGAAAGGGACTTTAATTCTAAGGCTTTAAATTTAATATTTCCTCTTGCAATATCACATTCAATGATACATTCAATGTTCAGATAAATATTAAATATTAGATAAATATTAACATTTTCTGGAATAAAAATGCCTGTACAGTGCAGTTACATTCCTTTCGAAATCTTGCAATGCACATGTGCGCACGATTCTATGTTTTACATTAGAGACGTTTTTATATATGAAAACCAATGGAAGTTGCCCACATAGCATTAGATCTCCAAAGTATATCCTAATTTGATCAAAATGATCCTATTATAATCCAAATGAAAAAGTTATCCATAGGAGTACCTGAGGACATATGCATTAGCCACAAATTACACAAGGTATCCGCATCCCAGGAAGAAATAAGAGACGAATAGATATCGAATCGACATTGATTAGCCGTCGATGATGTCTACAAGACATCGAATCGACGTCTATTCGATTTCCCATTTCTCTCTGATATCCCAGGGACTAGACATCCTACGGATGTTATCTGTAGGATGTTCTAATGTGTTAGTTAATTGGTCTGTTCTTTTTAGCTGCACTGCGGAACTAGTGCAATAAATTAGAATGAGACAACTATATCTTTTCTCACTTTAATTTATTGCACCAGTTCAGTAGTGCAGCTAAAAAGAACAGACCAAATGTTTACTGAGAAACAGCGATACAGTGGTACGATTCTGTAACTCGTTATTGGAGTTAACGACAGTTTCGTTATTGTTGAGCAGCTTTTCTACGGTATACAAAAGCTGCGCAACGATAACGAAAGTGTCGTTAACTCCAATAACGAGTTACAGAATCGCACCACAGGGGCTGCGTTCCGATATTCACTTCCAGTATTGAAAGTCTATAGTATATGTGACACAAACTATGTATTTTCAATACTGGCAGTGAATTTCGGAATGCAGCCAGGGTGTATTCCGAGCCGATATCGCTCGGCTTATTTTTGTTTCTAGATGTTGGCAGCCACGTAACCCGAACTACGAACATAAGCCGATACCGAGAAGTGTTCCAAACTAGAGATGCCGATGTTTTTTTCAAACAGATCGATTTAAAGATCGATTCGAATCACGGAGAAAAAATCGATCTTTAAAAAATCGATTTGTAAAGAATCGATTTCAGAAAATCGATTTGAATCGATATGCGTGTAGAATGAACGACTCATTAAAATATACAATCTGTCAAATTTCTACACTCTGCAGTAGACCTCATGTAGTTCATATAAAGTTTAATATAAATTAAAGAAATTAAATAGATAGTACTCTTTTGGTTGTGCTGTGTGTGTGTGTGGCCAGAGCAAGATAGAAACAAATCTTTAAATTATTATGCTAATGATTTAATTTGATTAAATCATTAGCGTCAATCAAGGGTTTTTAAACGTTATTAAATAAGAAGTCACGTTTACTATTATATATGTCTATTTATTGATTTCTTCCATCTTTCAATTTTCAAAATCTAATGATTTTAAAAACAATAATTTGTGAACTTCCCCACAAAAACGTATATCGAATCCACGTGGAACACACGTTGCATTTACGTGGAATCCACAAAACCATATGGATTTCACATGGACACAACGTTCCTGTTTTCGTGGGGTTATCTCCAGTCAATCTGTTTCTTTGTTCTATTAAAATATTGCCCGCCAAAGAGAACAGACGTTCGGAAGGCACAGATGTACCAACAATGCATAAATACTTCAACGCTAATTGGCTGATATTACTGAATATTATATTAGTATGATCCATTGAAATCAAGAGACACGGTAATGTCTCGCGCCAAGTGAACGCGCGAACGAGGCGGCGAGACCGAACCGTGTATTATTATCAAGAGACATGGTAGTGTCTCGCAACGCGCGAACGAGGCGGCGAGACCGAACCGTATATTATTCGTGCGATTTCAAGATTTTCAAGTTTCATCATCAAGTCATCAATCAAGTTATTACGCGAAACCTCTAGTTGATCATAGGATATATTTTCGTACCGCTAGAACGGCTGAACCGATTAGGTTCTGCATAAGCTCAATCGATTTCGCAGGGTCTAATTATATAAGAAAATTATCTTCATTTTTGCTCTACATGTCCTGTAAGCTTAGAAATTTATTCTCAAAGTACGAAATCGTGAAATTTACGAATCGTTCAACAAATGTCAGACTGACTTTACTTCTACTAGAGGGCGTCACGAGGTCACGCAGCTACAAAACGGTCAGTTAAAACTACATCATATAAATACGTATTCATAGACCATTCAATTAACGATGCACGAATCACGTCGCCTGTCGCATATTTTAAAACTCCAAACTGTCCTAGTGGTTGTATGCGTATGTGTGTGTTATCAAGAGACGCGGCAGCGTCTCGCGCCAAGTGAATGCGCGAAGCGAGGCGTGAGGCCGCGTATTACTTACACCGACCAACTAGTTCAGCGCAGACAAGATCTCTCATTTGGCTTGGTTTGGCTATAACGTCTGAACGAATGAAGTTCTGGATGAGCTCAATCGATTCCTTAGGATTGATTTACTTAACTAAACTATCTTTATTTTCTTCCTATATGCTGAGTAAGAGGAGATATTTTAGTTGAAAGTCCGAAGTCGCCAAGTTTCTATCTCAAGATTTTCGTTGTACAAATGTCCAACTGAACTATTGTTTGTTAGATGGCGCCACGGATAGATGGACAGATGATGCAGATGCGGATAGATGGATACTTGAACAGTGATGTGTAAAGGCTCGTCTACAATAGCTGTAAGAGTAAGGCTGTAAGGCTGCAACGTAAGCTGTCAGCGAATGAAAATATTTCATTTCGCGTCTTGCAACCTTACAGCCTTACTCTTACAGCTAATGTAGACGAGCCTTAACGCTGCCGGTGCGTTCGTAAATGCATCATGTTCTTTTCGTGTTCGTTCGTAGAGATGGCCTTCGACCTTTAGGGCCGGTTTTTCCTACTCATCGGTTAACTTACTAACAGTTAAATCATACGTTTGTCTTTGTTTTTCCTTCGAAATAGATAAAGACAGACATATTTATATAACATATAATTTATATAATTTAATTGTTAGTTAATTTACCAAGAGGTTGGAAAAACCGGCGGTAATAGTAGACTGTGATTGGTTAATTTCTTAAAGCTTAAGTCTTAGGCCGGTATTTATAGTCGTGGCTCATCTACAATAGCTGTAAGAGTAAAGGTCATTCTACAATACGTATCGTAAGTTGTAAGCCGTAAGAACTGACCAATTGTAGCCGATTATTTTTGTAATAATCGACTGTGATTCGCCAATTCTTACAGCTTACAACTTACGACACGTATTGTAGAATGTCCTTAAGGCTATAAGTAAGGTTGCAAAACACGTAATGAAATATTTTCATTCGCTGACAGCTTACGTTACAACCTTACAGCCTTACTCTTACAGCTATTGTAGACGAGCCTTATCACACAAATGAACGTAAGCAGTAAACATAAGCAGTAAAGAAACTGACCAATCACAATCAATTATTCTTGTAAGTTTTAAAATGGCGTCCTTAAATTTCGATTGTGATTGGTCGATTTGCTTACTACTTACGTCTTACTGCTTAAGTTCGTTTGTGTGTGATGGCCTTTACTCTTACAGCTAATGTAGACGAGCCTTTAGTCTTTCATCATCGTGTGTGTGGCGGAAACACCCGACGGTGTCCTATTGTAGAAAGAGACAGCGCTATATCCCCCTTTCTGCATATTTCCCAACCTATATGCTTTGCGCTCCGTCCATAGATTCTTAAGCTAAGACTCCATGCATGCGGTGAGCTGCGGCAAATGCTGCGGTGACCAATCAGGAGGGAGGCGCAAGTCCGGTTGCGGCAAGCTCCGGCATGCGTCTGTCTCCTGATTGGTCTCCGCAGCCGTTTGCCGGAACTCACCGCATGCATGGAGTCTTAGCTTTAGGTCCATGGTTTATACGATAAATGACATGTACAGGTTATGGTCCCCTTAGACACATTTGTGTTGACAAAATATTTATCTATCATTATTTATTCAAAAGACACGGTAGTGTCCCAAGTGCACATAAAAGCAAAGCGATTTTATATATGAGATACTCAGATCCATTTTTTGACTTAGGTACGCATTAATTAATACTTGTCTGCCTGAAACTTGTCTCATTATAAAATACTGAGATGATTATTTAAAGTTTGATTTAAATAAATATTTCAGTTAAATGACACGTATGTGACATTCATATATTTGTAATAGAGGTTCGACTGAAGATCTCTTATTTAACTCTGAATTTAAATCTGAGTGAGAGACAAGTTTGAAATTATAACTATTAATACAAGCCTTAGAGTTAAATTAGAGTTAAATCAGAGTTTTTCAGTTGATCACATAATATGTATAATATATATTTAAGGCTTGTTTTAATAGTCATGACTTCAAACTTATCTGTAGTAAGATACTCAAATTCAAATTCAGAGTTAAATAAGAGATCTTCAATCATAGCGCTATTGCAGATATATGAATATCACATATATATCATTTAACTGAAACATTTGAATCGAACTTTGAATAATCATCTGAGTATTTTATAATGAGACAAGTTTCAGATGACAAGTATTAATTAATGCATACCTAAGTCAAATGAGATCTATCTTACACTTGATGTAAGTAACAAATATAATTGAATCCTTTGTGTTAAACTTAAGAATATATATAGAATATATGTGCATGAGATACGCATCATCCAACTGTCAAGAAAAATATCTTTAAAACTTGATGAAGACGTTAGCAACTCAATATTTTTTATAATAATTCATTACAGCTTGAATTACCAGAGTGGTATCAAGTAGTTTTTAAGTACTGTTGAGTTACTGTTACAGTTGCACTTAAAGTGTACTTAAAGTTGCACTTAAAGTGATTAATATCTGTAGTAAATACTTGCTGAAAAAAGAAAACTTTTCCTTCTAACTTAACAGTACTATGCAGTATGTACTCATTGTTTATTAAAAAACTAGCTATCACACTATTACTAATCTACAAAAGCTATTTATTATCACTCTGATAACTTGAATAGTAATGTACAATATACATTTTATATAATAAATAATACATTATTTATTGTACACTTTTTTAGTTTTACAATAAGTTTATATACTTACATACAAGAGGACATTACATCCAGTATATCGAGAATTGGAATGCCAATTTTTTTAGTGATTCTAGAGGCCAAAAAATAATGAAAGGTAATTAATTGGTGAAAATTGAAATTAATGAGAACTTTTGTATTTTTTGTTTTTATGTAACATTTTAATATTTTGAATAAAATATAATGTTGAATAATTAGTCTTTTATTCTCTATTTTTCAGAATATTTCAAGTTTGCAGTAGACGACAATATACACAAATGAAAGTATGTTTTCGTGAAACCCTTGTTTATTCATTGTATTCTCATTTAATAACTTGTAAATGACGTATTAATTCACAAGTATCACAAGTATTTGTTTAATCAATGGGACATGAATGTAAGTGACATGTGTGCCAATAATTGAACACATGTTTAATCAATGGGTCATTATAATTATAATTTTGACTATACCGGTGATGAATATTAATATATTTATATTTAAAAAGGAACTTTTAGATAGTAAAATGATATTTTTAAATGTATTATTTGATAGCTTAAAACTATAAAAAGCATTACGTATTTATAATGTAAGTAAATCTGAGTAGAATTTTCAAAAACATATTGAAAATATAAACATGATATCTTGTTCAAGATGGTAAGAAACTAAGTGAAAATGTGACTATTTCTTTTATACTCAAAATAAACAATTTTTTTACGATGATTTACAGTCAAATTATATATTTTTATAATTTACTTCTATAAAAAAATTTTAAACATTCTTTTTACCCAGACAACACACGGATGTCCATTGGACGTCCGTTATATGTCCATTTTTTTTTATAAAAGACGTCCATAGGACGTACATTTGTCACAACTTCGGACATAGGACGTCCGATGGACGTACATCGGACGTCCTATGTCCTACAGGTCCTATCCTACAGGTCCGATGTCCAATAAGGACATCCTTGTTATGTCCAATTTATGTCCACGGACGTAAATCGGACGTACGGACATAAATTGGACGTGAAACGCACATTCATTGGATGTCCGGTGTGTAGGTAGTTTATCATTTTCTTTCATTTATTGATAAGTATCTTAATAAACAAAAATATATTATTAATACTTCAATCATTGGGACATGTTCAAGGACTAGGACTTACCTTAATTAATAAAAACAAAAATTAATTATTGTATGTGAATGGATCACAGCTGGTCTGTTCTTTTTAGCTGCACTACTGAACTGGTGCAACAAGTTAAAGTGAGAAAAAATATAATTGTCTCATTCTAACTTATTGCACTAGTTCCGCAGTGCATCTAAAAAGAACAGACCAATTATCAAATAAATATTGCACCATAAAAAAACAGTGTATCACTTCCTCAGTAAACATCAACTAACACACTAGAACATCGTACGGATGTTATGCGGATCTTATGTAATTTATGGCTAACACACATGTCCTCAAGTACTTCTATGGATAACTTTTTCATTTGGATCATAATAGGATCATTTTGATCCTTAACCCTTTAACTGCTGAGATATTAAATAACCAGTATGACCCTCTTTGCTGAGTTATTTTTACAATTATAAAATATTTTATAATTTGCTGATGATCTAGATTTTCACAAATTCACATTTTTAAATTTAAAAAAAATACCACACGCAATACCACACACATTGAAAGTTCAAATCGAGTAAACTCGGTTGCAGCAAGGCTGCCATTTTTTTTCACATTCGAGTTATCTCGACCGTAGCAGTTAAAGGGTCAAAATTAGGAAATTAGGATATACTTTGGAGATCTAATGCTATATGGGTTGTTATACCAATATTAACTTATATTGGGGCTACATTGGCCCAATGTATCCCAATATGCAACTAATATTGGTTAAACATTAAATTACAATATATCGCCAATATTGCATAGCATTGTTATACCAATATTGACTTCTGTTGGAGTTACATTGGCCAATATTGGGCGCCCAATTTGTAACCAATATTGGCCCAACAATATGTGCTACTAGGGATGTATCAAGGTGACGCGCAACGAGTATTTAACGTAACATTTAAACTGTTGCAATATATCACTAATGCTTCTTTTTACCAATGTTGATTAAATCTTAACGTAAGTTTTCATGTGAATAAAGTTTAAATTTAGGTTGAAGTTTAATTGATGTTGGTAGAAATGACTTAAACCGTTTACGAAACTCTGACTTCTGTTGAATGTAGCCAATATAGTATGTTCTGTTATTATAGATTTGTTCGTTTTCAAAGAACTTCTGAACTGGTGTATACTAGTACAATAAGTTAAAGTGAAAAAAAGTAAACTTATTTCACTCTAACTTATCACATTAGTCCAGAAGTTGTTCGAAAATTAACAAATCTAATACAAAAGAAAATACGAGATCTTCCTCAGTGCTATAACAAAGAATGAAATTTTCTCATTGGCGGGAATTTTATACGCATGTGCAAGTATATAATAAAACATGTGATCGAGACGTGACATACTCGTGCTTAGGTGTAATATAAATTGTTCCTCGAAGCCCATATATATTTTTACTCTTTTCTTTATTATCACTTACATATCACAAACCATAAATCACATTATATTTATTTAAAATCAGTTTTACTTTTTTTCTCTATAATTTTTTATACCTTCTATTCTTTTACAACAAGTGATCTAGCACTTTAGCGGCACTTTAAATTCTAGCGAAATAGATACGTGACTGAATATGATTGTACTTACCTGCAGCGCCCTCACGCATGTTTTTTTCTTTATTGTCTCATAGCGTAAAGTAGCCAGTTAGCTTTTCACATTAAATATAAAGAATAAAAATTCTCCAGGGAGAATTACCCGTTTAGGGTTTCACATATGACACAATGTCATACAAATTGTATAAAAAGTAATGAGAATTAAGGTGGCATTTAGACATATCTATCGTGCGTATCTCTGCGTTTGAGTTTTTCCTTCATAAAAATGACGTATCCTGGACTGGTGCTCCTCGTTGGAGTTGGAATTGGACTAGCAACATTCCTATATTATATATTCGCTGAAAATGAGAGCGAGAATGATCAAAGACAACAGTATAATTACGAAGATGGTACAAATGGTAGAACGCCAGATTACCACGACTGGAGGATTTCACCTGCTTCGTCACATAGGTCTGAAAACTATCAGTGCTTTTATGTATATAAAAATATATATATATATATTTGTGCATGTTAATGATGAAGGTCATTAATAGTTAATTATATCTCATATCTCATATACTTATATTTATAAACAGTATGGATCATTGCATATTTCAATATATAAGATACTCAATCGAGATACATAATTTGAATCTAAAAATTGATGTCGTACTATATGAAGAAGAAGGATATGGTACATATTACATGTTTCTATAAAAGCTATTTCTTTTTAGTGGTAGATTAAATAGAAGAAACTTGTCAAACTCTTCAGTAAGAGAAGGTGACATAGGAAGAAGTCGCATGAGTAAAGAAGATATAAACAATTGTTCAATTTGTCAATACGCACTAATCGGATCAGATGTGATACAGCTACATCCTTGTAGACATAATTTTCACAAGGACTGCATTAAGAAGTGGAGGTCATATACTCCTAAGGTATAATCCATAAAGATACAAGTTTCATTTCTTGGGTACAAATTCTTCATTTATTGATATAGAATTACAAAGATCAATTTTATATTACAGGCTGCTTGTCCTAATTGCAGAAGAGACATAGCACATATGACATAAATTTATCATACACAATATAGCCATATAGTTGCTTTTGGAATGTTTTTATGATTATTAACAGATATTAGTATTTATATTTATTTTTAATATTAATATTTAAATATTAATATTAAATATATATATGAATTATATATATATATATATATATCATAATTATATCATATAATTATATGTATCAGATATTAATATTTAAATATTAATATTTATGTTTATTATTATTGCACCATACATGATATATATATATATATATATCTCTAAAGTATCATATAGGATTTATGAGGTTGTTATAATCTTTTTACACTCGATCTCTTGTTGAATTAATTGAAATATTTTTTTAGATCTTTAAATTTTACAAAAATCCAGCTACTTTGTATGAAATAGAAAATAAGAGCTTCATAAGAATTGTGACAGTAAAGTCATAGGGAAACTTCCTTGCATTCTAAATTTATATTAAGATCAATTTCAATATGGCAGTTGAATGTAAAAGGGAGATAATTTAGAATGATATAATTTATAACAATACACACATCTAAATATTGTATTATAAATTATATAAATTTTGTATAGTACGGGAGAGTCCATCAAATGAACATTCCCAACTAAATTATTTTCAATTAAAACTCGTTTGAAAACTAATTTTATGTACATTCAGCATATGCTATTTATATACAATTGTCCACGCGTGCTAATAAATGAAACATGAAATAGTTTTCATCCACGATGAAACGAACTAAGATCAATAAAATTAATGATTAATCGATTGTATAAAATGTACGAAACTGAGCTGTATGAATTATCGAAACGAATATAATAATACACTACACTCATTCGACTTTCCCTTTCGCTTGACCGTAAGTGGACTTGAATTTCTCTTTCGTAATATCGCAAACATATACGGCGTGAAACAACGACGGACATGTATGCATTTTAACATCACGAGCGTGATACGAGATGACACGTATGTCGTACGTGCAACACAACGGTACGTTCTGTAACGTTTATCTAGTGAACGGCATGAATCCGGTATGGAAAGCGAGGTGGTCGCGCTTTAGTCAGTTCTCCGAGAAGCGTCTCGAGCCGGTGGATGCAACGGACGGAACTTTGTGTCTCCCGCGTCATTCGTGTTCTCGTGGTCGTCGATTACGCGAGTCAAGTCGGGAATATGCGGCAGTGGTGAGGAAGGATGGACCAATCGTGTTCTTCGCATCAAAATGCATCAATGGAACGAACATGACCAGATTATTGTTCATTACATTGATTGTAACTCACACGATCGCAGGACTGCGACCACTCGTTGCTAAGGAGAGACGCGGTACGTAACTTATTGCTGCATTACGTCGATGCGGACCCTTACATGAGCGCGACGACTTGATCTGTCCTTCTCTATCTCTTTACGCAAGCAAGATATTATATATATATATCGACTGGATATTTAACGCTTTTATAGACGCGCAATACGCTTGATGCTCCAGCACGTGCCTTAAATGCAATAAATTTGAAATGTAGCGTCAATCGTATATTATCCTCTTTGCATTTACGTCATTATGAGAAGAATAAGACTGCGATTTGTCCAATCACTACTGGCGATTGGCCGGTGCTGTGTAACAAAAATACACAGGTGTTAAAACAGATGTTAATTACGATAATGATGACCGCCCCGCAACTCTTGCCGGATGTCGTGTTAGCTGTGTTGTTTGCACCCTTTTCTGTCTCAACGATAGTATAGAACGTTATCTAATAACGGAAAACAGAACATATGATACGCTATGTACGTTGTCAATCGGTTAGTTGACAAAAATCCTTTTTTTCGTTGTCGTTGAGAATCCAGTGATAAAATATGCTCCAGCTCCAAGTGCGATTAAATCGACACAGAAGGATGTTCTCCTTCCGTTAAAACGTTCCGCTTATTCGCATGCTGCAGGGTTAAACATCGGTCGTCCCATTTCTGGACCGGTTCCACGATTGTCGAGAGAAGCAAAGCGAGTTAAAGCGGGTTGAAACAAGTCGTGTGTTAATCCTCAGTTTTGTCTGTCCTTGGGTATCCTTAAAGAAAATTCACGTTTATTATAACACAGTTTACAAATAAATAGAAACAAACGGATGAATCTCGACATTTCCGCTTGTGTTTACGTGTTTACCTGTAAAAACGCTGGAAATATATCTTAGCGATTCGAGTCAAGTCGAAGAAATAAATGTCAACAAGAACTACCTTGTTAGCCTTTCTGGCCGTTACAAATTGCCCTGTATAGTATTCTAATAAAATAATATATAAACTTGAATGAAATGTCATTTTATACAGGGTGTTCAATTTTAACCTATCATCCCTCATAACTTTGCAGGGAATGGTCGTAGAGAAAAATGTTTCAGACAAAAATTGTATGGTTTCGAGAAAGACATAAAATAACTATATCAGTTTGTTTACAGATGGCGCTACTTTCGATAGATATTCACTCATCATTACTTTTCTCAAATGGAAACCCCATTTTTTTATTATGTCATCTTTCTCTACCAATTAACAACTTTTGTCTGAAACATATTTTTATCTGCCTAATATTTTTTTAAAGAAAACTTGGTAACTTTTTCAAGATTTAGCTTACAATATCTTGGTAACTATTTGTTGAAGAAGAAAATGGTACTAGATTTTTTTATTCTATTTGGTCTCAAGAATATATTGTTACAATAGCGCCTTGACTTTTGTTAATTTGATCATTTTGAAATTTCCAAAAGTCGATAAGTCAACAAAAGTTAGGGCACTATTGTAACAATATATTCTTGAGACTAAATAGAATAAAAAGGTCTAGTACTATTTTTTCTTTTGACAAATAGTTAGCAAGACATCGTGAATTAAATATTGAAAAAGTTAATAAGTTTTCCTTAAATATTTCACAAAATATTAGACAAATGAAAAAATGTTTCAGACAAAAGTTGTTAAAATTAATTGGTAGAAAAAGATGATACAATAAAAAATTGGGGTTTTTATTTAAGAAAAGTAATGATCAGTTAATATCTTAAAAGCGGCGCCAAACAAACTGATATAGTTGTTTTATGTTTCCCTTGAAATCATACAACTTTTGTCAGAAACATTTTTCTCTACGACCGCTCCCTGCAAAGTTACGAGGGGTGATAGATTAAAATTGGACACCCTGTATAAGCATGATAACTTTCATTCTACTTGCGCTCTCTTTCTCTCATCTATCTATTTATCTATCTATCTTTGATTTTATATTATAAATTGAAATATACACGACGCATCTGCGAGTGAGCTTGTTTTACCGCTCTTGAACGTATAATGGGGTTACGAGAATCTCACGGTGACCTACGTGCCCATTTCTCGCGATAAAAGCGAGGACGGCGACAGGTAGTGCCACACGCGTATACATACACACGTGCATGTATGCATGCATATGCGCGTGTGTATATTCCTCGTTGATCACATACATGACAATTGAGATGATATTAATGAGATATATTCAATATCACACATTTAGTCGCAACCTAATCTGAACCGTAACGTTGATTCGACATTGATTTGACGTTGAAATGGTTGATAAACCGTTGAGTCAGTGTTAATTCAACCCTCATCGACGTTGAATCAACGTTGTGGTTCCGACTGGAGAAGTACTACATATATATATATATATATACTCTTTCATTGAACGATTCTGCGATTAGTAAGAAGACTGATACGAGACTGGGCACCTTTGGTATGGCTCGCACCTGGAGAACGGTTTCTGCCCCTTGGCGTACCTGAATTCTTGGATAACGTGAAGTCGGACCAATATTACCTTCGCACTAGGATAGACGTAGGTAAGTGTTTGAAACGTAGTTATAGTATATAAATAATCTGTGGTATAATACAGAATGGACCAATAATTATTAACACTTTGAATATCTTCGAAACGACAGTTAGATAAATCAGAAGATTAGAAACGACTTTACCTTGGCTATTGTCGTCACCAAGTAATAGTCTCTTCTGTAACACACACGTAACTTTTTTTTAGAAAATATTTGGTAATTCCTGTATACACATACACACACAATTTAGATAATATTCAAATACTCATCAAACAGCATATAAATGCCTAAAAGATATTCTGCTACTTTTTTTTTTAGTTGTCTGGGTAATTATTGGCCCACATTGATATTTATATGATTTATGGGGTAATAATGATTATGATTATTGATGCTTTAAAAATCGAGGAATTTCAACAGAATCCTTGCTGAAGAATCAGTCGTCCTTTTTGTACGGCCGAAAACCCGCCGGGATCGTGCCTGTTTATGCTCTGACGAAGAAGTGCATTTCCACGGAGGCGAAGGTACGCACGCAGATGTCGAATCGGACACCGAGAAAAGACCAAAGCGTTCCAACACTGTTACGCAATAATGAACTCTTGGCTGAACAACGACCTGAAATTGGTACCGGCGATCTAACAGCACAAATGGTATCGCAAGAACGAATACGACAGGCAGGTAAAACACGAAAATAGGCGGACGATAGACTAATCCACCTCTTTCACCTGTTCGTGTCTGGCAATTGCTCCGATAAAGGGTCACAAGGTCGTTGAAGTGAAACTTCGAGTCGATCCCCGTCTTGTTTTCTTTCATGCAAAACTCATTCGCAGGCCGCGACGGGGTCGCGATTCGACACGACCAGAGGAGAGAACAGATGTCGTCGAAAGGTACACTTTCACGTGACCTATTGGATGTTCTATCCGTTCAGCGAGGGAAAGACGATATGCGTGTTGGATCTTGGATTTTTCGGCAGCTGGCCGATACCTACCATGGGCGGTGTGTGCATAGGTACGCTGAAAGAATACGGCAGTCACATCGGCGATTGGGAGCACATGAGCCTGTACTTTAAGGTAAATATCCATCTCTTCCCTTGAAAGATCCCAATCAGGATCAGAGCGCACTTTCTCCTTTTACCGCATCCATGTTCGTACAAGTATACCCATAAAGTATAACTTCACCGTATCCCGACGTTACTTTCAGGATAAGGAACATCCTCTGACGATGTATGTATCGGCGCATGACGCGGGAGCATTTTATCGATACGATCCGCAAAACGGCACTTTCGTCTACGAGAGCCAAGAGACCAGGAAGGGTCTTTTTCAGAAGCCGACGTTCCCCGAGAAAGTTTACACAGCCGGCGACTCGCACCCGATTTTATTTAGCGCGCGTGGTTCTCACGGCCTCTGGACGGCGCCAGGGAAGCATAAATTTGTTCGGATGCCTCGTTTGTACGACGAGAGTGGATTCGGAACTGCCTGGCCAACGTGGAAGAGATTAGAATTACTTTTAGAAGAGGATAACGAGGCCTTACCAGGCTGGATGACCTTTAAAGGCAAATGGGGTAATCCCAGCAGTAACTGCCACCCGCTGGCAAAGCTAGGATTTAATATCTGCGAATTCGTAGATGGTCCAACTGGGATTCCTATGAAAAAATTCAATTTCCGCTGTTAGGATTTATTATGAATATAAGAAATCGCTTTGGAAAGAACCTGAGGAACATTTGTTACTTGCAAGCTTAAATTTATGAATGGATGAATACGCGCGCATGTGTATATATGTACATGTAAGAGAAAAGATAAATCAATGATGAGATGCCAAATAAGGATGCCAAAGATAAATTATCATATAAGTCACGAAAGATTTTATCATTTAGTTTATTATTCGAATGATCGACTCATCTTTTGATTCTTCGATGAACAATTAAGAAATGTTTTACTTAAACAAGTACCTTGTTTATAAATGTGTTCATCTAGCGAAAGCGAAGCTTCGTTGAAAATTGATAATCGATATAAAAAGATAACAAAATATTAGTCGCTCATTATAATCTGCATGTACATAATCAACAAACGATAAGTGGTGTGCACTTTTAGGCATCTCGTGTGCGATATAGTCTTAAGACCACAAACAGTAAGCAAATTGTCTTTCGCAGCGATCCAATCCGTTGACCATTTAAGCTTTGCTCTGTTTGCTTTATTCTGGAATGCTTTGACGATGCTAGTGCATCGTTTAACTTTTCCATCATTGACTTCACGATTCTCCTTAGCATGTTCAGTAGTTCAACATTCGAATATATCAAGAGATAAATCAATAAGCATATCTATTCAGAGACTTCGTCTTGGTCCACTCCTTCTATGGCAATGCTACGTATGCCATTTCTCAACAATGGTGTACCCTTATCCTTTGCCAAAACACGTGCATTTAACACAATCTTTAAAGGTGTACCAGATTGGCAACACATTACTTCAATATTTTCCTTTAATATTTTCTCTTTGTAAGCCAATAGTTCCACCTTTAATCTAAGTAGAACAATCAGTCATTAAATTTGAATGGACTTAAAAGAAATATATTGAATGATAGTGAAAGTGATTTATGCATTTCATACTTTAAGCCATCTTTATCTTGTGCAAAATCAATAATGTGGCAATTTGAATTTTGATTCCCTGCAATTATTGCTGGTGCCACGGTTTCTCCTCCCAGATGAATACATGTATTCCATGGCACTGAAAACTCGATATGATATCTGAAATAAATATATGAAATATATCTACTATTTCCTTCCCTGCATATATTCTTTACATGTACATAAGTATGTATAAAAATACAAGTTGTATCATACATATCAAGCGTACGTTGTATGAAAACAAAATTTTTAATAAATGTGTGATATTTGTATCATGACAAAAACTATAAAAATCTCTATTCTCTGTGAGACTGTTAGAATTAGAGATATTAATTATGATCTACAAATTTTACGAGAAACCTGTGATGCAGTTGCAGAAATCCTAAATGGGCATCTATTTGGCCATGTCGTTGTGGTTGTATCATAATGTTGTTATCCTTTCCAAGTCCACTCCCGCCACTAAAATGTACATGATGCTCTGGAAACATGAAATTTAAAATGAATCTTTTACATCATCAATACGATGAAATTATATTAACCTGAATGTATACGTAGTAAAATGTATCCTGACTTAAATAAAAACCATATCTGTTTGGTCACATTTTTATATTTTCAGATATACATTCAATATATATTTATGTATTGAAACGGACTCGAAAGTAATTTACAAGATGATACTATATATAATTACTATGTAAAATGTTAACCAAATACCTTTGTCTCCCATGATCCACAAAACTCGGCAATTGTATTTTCATACTGCTTGCCAACTAAATCAATTCAATTAATTGTTCCCAACGACTTACAATTCATAGTTTGAGTTTAAAATTTAGGTTAAGTCCTATACATTAAAGCTTGAGCCTTTATTCAGAAGTTATGGAACAGTTATCCCAAAGATTCGTAGATTCGTGTATTCAACTATGTTGCACATGCAAAATATCCTATTATCACTATCGACTATCCTAATAATAACATATTCTATGAATTAAATATTCATTTTTAATTACAATAAATATTATTTTTTCACTCGATTCTTTCTCGATATCCGAATTATTCGAATAATCGAATCTTCGAAACTCGAAAATCGATCAAGTATAGCTCGACCATCATTTTTAATTGTATCGTTCGAGCTGTTTAAACCTGTTGAAGCTCGAATGTTTTTTCGCTTTTTATTGAGTGTCCGATTCTAATTTCCGAATCAAACTTAATTAAACTATATTTCTATATCATTATATTCACTGAATAATGACATTAAGAAATTGGTTTTATTGGTGTCTGGAGGCAAGATTGGAAGAGGGAGAGAGAGAGAGAGAAAGAGAGAGAGAGAGAGAGAGAGAGAGAAAGAGAGAGAGAGAGAGAGAGAGAAAGAGAGAGAATATCTTTATCTTTCTTGAGTACATGTGGCATTGCAAGACTAATATTTATCAATTAGAAGGCATTTCATATGAATTAAAGCAAAAATTCGAAAAATAAGCAAAATAAATATGATGTCAAGTAAATTGTTGCTGATAATAATTCCTCGGGGGAATTATAAATATTTTCTAATTTAGAATTTGTTTTTAAATAAATGTCCGATACTTTATACGATAATCTTTTAAAACTTCTTTCATTGCCATCCATCGATTACATAATGCTAGCAAGAATATAATAAGCGAATTATCTAAAGCCAAACGACATAATGTAGTATATTATGGCATAACCGAGTCTATAGGAACAAATTCCGCCGCATAATTACAATTCCAAGGAAAAACAATTATTCTTGTTGCTAGGCATTTTTTATTGATGATTCTTATCGATCGTAATTGTTTCCTTCCTTCATATATCCTCCATTTTTATCTTGTACAAACACCTAGATTGTAGCAATTTTTAAAGAACATCTTAGAGATATCCTCTGCTCAGCAAGAAATGACTCGTCAGTCGAAGTCGAAAAGTTCAAATGGATATCAATTCGACGTCGTTTCGACATCGTTTCGATGTCGATCGATGAGTCATTGCTCGCTGGGTGAACGTCCTGTAAATGTTTCCTGGATGTTTATATTATCAAGAGGTTAATGTTATTTGGGCATTCAATTACTAATCATTAAGTTTCGCTATAAAATTCCTTTCTTTTTGACAGGAATAGATTTTGCAAATCTTTAAAAGATTGGCTGTATAATAAGTTGTAAAATAGAAAAGTATTGACACTCCAGACAGCACAATGTCCAAAACTGGGACATAAGACGTCTTTAAGACGTCTTTAAGACGACTTAAAGATGTCTTATTTTCAGACATTTTAAAGACGACTTAAAGATGTCTTAAAGACGTCTTATGTCCCAGTTTTGGACATATGTGCTGTCTAAGACGTATCAAGATAGCCGGGAAAAAAGATTATGTATAAATTTATATAAATATAGCCATGTATAATCATGCATAATCATATATGTCTATGATGAAAAAAATGTTATATATAAAATTCGATTGAAATATACACAAATCGAAATTATATACAAATACAAGCGAAATAAATGCTTATGCTCTTTGCAGCATATAATGTCGACGTTTATTTAAATAATTTAATAAATTGTTTAAATCATTCTTATATAATTTTTTTTATTTAATATTATTTCTTTTTACGTGTAGATATATATCGATTATATATGTGACCATATATATAGATAAAATTTTATGTGTAATATTTATGATTATAATCATATATAATTTTATATAATTATATATAATTATATATAATCTTCTTTCCGGATAATAAGGGTAAAGTTATTAAGTATACTACGAATGTTATCAAATGACATCAGATTGTTGTATTTCAAATTCATCATTATTATCACGTTGTGCAATCACGTTATGTAACTATATAATCAGCAATCATTACAACGTTTTTTACACTTCGTTAACGACATGTGATCGCCCGCGATTTTCCGTCGAAAATGAATGCCTCTTCTGGCGCAGCTTGTGGTTCTGTAGCCTCACTATTAGTCACTAAACTGGTTTCGAAGAACTAAACGTGTACGCATCTTATTTTCTGTCACTGTTTATCCCTTTGGCGAGAGTACGATATAATAAAGTATGTCCCTGAAGACCGTCATAACGCCGACTGTCTCGAATATCCTGTTACTCGCGGTGCGGAACGGAAAAAGATACTCATCACCGTTAGCATGTCTCAAGCTATAAAAACTCGGGGTAATATTGTACGAGTATTCAGTAACCTGTTGGTCGTGGAGCCGTCGTTTCTGATTGAAACAGATGTCGAACATGAAGGCCATCGTCGTTATACTTGCCGTTTCTTTCGTCGCTGTCTTGGTGAGGTCAAATTACTTTAACGTTGATTACATTTATATCTTCAAAAAATGTATTGCAAGTATACATATTGCAATCAATGCTTTGAGATGAAAACAGTTTGATTTGAAGTCAAATAGATCCAGAAACGCTTTCAGATTTGATATTGAAATTTAAACTATTCTAATTGTTAGATCCTTCAAAAGTTTCAAGCGCCAATTTTAATCATCTATTTGTTTTATCATTCATTTTATCTTGATACAATCGTGACACTTGCTTTTGACTTCAAAATTCTTTTTTACACACCAAAATCTTTATTTAATCTTTCATGCATCGAAATAATGTCTTCCAGACATTGCGTTTTTGCAAATATTTTTATTTTATAATACATACTTTGTTCTTTCTGAATGTGAACTCAAATATGATTATACGAGTACGTTCTGCAAGTTCGCCAATTATATGAGAATGCAAAGGGTTAATAAATCTAATTTCCACAGACAACTTTCGCATTGTTTTCTCTTTTAATTTGACAGTATCTGGTAATAGATTAAAATATTAGTTAATTTTTTCCGATTTTCGACAATTTTCAATCTTTACTTAACTCCTTGTCTTATAATATCGTGTGAGATTCGTGATATGCTTTGTGGACTAAACATAAGAAATATGAATCAGGCTTATGGTACGTATATCGGGCCAAAAAGCACGGATAAGACTCATCGTATGTTTTGCGGGTCAAACAATACAAGTGAGATTTGTGGTTAAATTTTTATGAGTTTTGGTCAATGTTCTGAGTCTGCGATGTTTGCGTCTTATGACTTGCAATTTATATAGGTCGGGCATTATAGATGTAACTTTATCACCAACTTTGGCACATGCTGTCGCGATTTAAATCATAGCGCAAGAAGTTAAAAATCAATAGGACAAAATTAACCAATAAAATATTCTCTGTTATTATGGTTGACCTTACGCCATTTATTGGACAGTTGCCGAATCTTATCATGATAGAAACTTGATGACTTTGGCTATAAGGCTATAAAGTCATTGGTGAAATTTCGTACGTCGTCAACTGTCGAAGAATATGTATTAAACTGTAATCACACTAGCGATTGCCGATTGGATTACGATTGCGATTGGCGATTGGTGATTAAAATAGAGCATTGTCTAAACGGCAATCATCAATCTCAATCGGTGCCTGTTTGCCCTGATTGGTTGAGAAGTAATCGCCAATCGTCAATCGCAATTGCAATCCAATCGGGAATCGCTAGTGTGATTACTGCTTCAGACAGTGCGTATTGACCAAAACAAGTGCAAATTTGATGAAGCTAAGTCTGAAAAATACGCCGCGTGTGGGTGGGAATTCCCAGCCCAAGTATAAGAAGGTTTCCTTTGTGGAAACTTTCTGCTATATGCGGTTTAGCATCATCGTGCAGCAGGATGATTTTACGGCTGCCTTGTTCAGTAAATGGCCTTTTTTTTCTCAATTGCGTCAATCGCTCAAATGTATCAATTATTTTTGAGTAAATCTCTGCTTTACCCGGTTCCAAAAACTCATAGCACATCCTTCTGATCCCATCATGTAGAGAGAAGAACTTTTTTCCGAAACATTTGGGTTTTGCTGCCGACGTTGTCGGTTAACCGGGTCTACCCATGATTTTTTGTATTTGGGATTTTTGTACATAATCTATTTTTCGTCATAAATTATAATTTTGTGTAAAAAATCTTTTCTTTTTTGTCTGGCAAGCAAAATAATGCATGTAGTCAATCGGCGATTTTTATTGTTAATGGTTAGCTCGTGTGGACCTTTCTTTCTGTATCTTTTCTTCTTACATATTGTAACTCACTTCACTTATTCTTTCCCATATGATATAAACGATCGCAAATATTCTTTCTGGCTTACTGCCAGCTTTTCTGCAAGTTTTTATTGCGTTTGTGCCGTATTTTCATTCAGTAGATTTTACAATTCCTTGTCTTCAAATTTTTTTGACTGGAGCGTGGTTGGTCGTGAAGATCCAAATCACTACTTCGAAAACGTTCAAACCAGTTTCAGCACGTGCGATTGGTTACAGCATTTTCATCATAAGCAGCACAAATCATTTTAGCTACTTCAAAAGTGTTTTTTTTTTTTTTAATGACATGTGAAATGCATCGAGTATCGAATATCGGCTCTTTGTTGACAGCCATTATGAACACTACTGATTATTTAAGGTTATGTGCATCAAACGCCAAACGATATGTTATTTCGTAAAGTTAAATGTTAATATTTTAAAACCGCAAGAAAACGGGGAAATATTTCAATTTCAAATTTTGCTCTGAACTATGTAAATTTCACCGGAAAGGATTAACTACCAGACCTACAATATCACACATAAACAGATACAATTGAAAGTGTGTTGATTGTTTATTATTAAGAATAATAATAGTCCGCATAGAAGCAACTGCATGATTACTCGTTTGATTTTAGGGTCAACTCACGGAAGAGCAGAAGGCGAAATTGAAAGATTACAAAGAATCTTGTATCAGTGAAACTGGTGTCGATCGGGGTAAGCGAAAAACAATAAGAAAGAAGAAAATTAGAATATACATATATGTATATGTACATATGATATAATAAAAATCAATTCGACTTTCAGACGTTGTGAAAAATGCGAAAGAAGGCGTGATTGATGAAAATAATGAGAAACTTGCTTGCTTCGCCACATGTTTATTAAAGAAGACCGGAGTGGTATGTACGAAAATAAGACCTTCGTCATTTGGACATGTCATTAATCAATGAGCAATTGAAAAAAGAAAATTTATACATTTGTGTTCTAGATGAAGGAAAATGGAGATATAGACATTGATGTGGTTCGCTCGAAGATGCCTCCGGGAATATCACAAGAAGACGTCGACGATCTGATCCAAAAATGTCAAAACATTAGTAAGTTTAAACATCACTTTGACAAGATAAAATTGCTTTTTGACGAATTGCAAGATCAACAACATCAATATTTGCAATCGAAAATTTATTCTGATTCATGTCAGCGTTTAGCATAAACTAGTTCGAACGTATCATTCAAACGAGGAATTGGAATAAAGGATTGGAATAAATGAAATTTCATTTCAGCTGGAGACGGTTGTTGGAAGGGAGGTGCTTTGATGAAATGCATCATGGAAAACAAGTTGATCTCTCTTGCAAAATCGCACAGATAAACAGTCTTCATAAATGGACGACAATATGAAACTTCAGTTCTGTTGTAATATATCATTAGATTTAGCGTTTAATTTAGTTGGTATTAAAATGATGTTTCGTGCACTTATGTATAGAATTTCGTTTTAAAGCATATTTACGGGCAAATAAATACTTTGAGTTCCAGTAAAATACAAATATCTTTCTCCTTTCTGTTCAAAATCCAATATCCCGCCATCGTGCAGATGTCCCGTTCTATTCGCGATGGCCGATTGGCCATTGAACGGAGAATGTCTAGAGTCCCGATGTACTTTCTAGGGAGTGTTAGGAATTCTCTATTCGATAGCCTATCGGCACCACGACTGTTCGCGTGACAAATAAAGTATAAAGATCATTCTACAATACGTGTCGTAAGTTGTAAGCCGTAAGAATTGACCAATTATAGCCGATTATTTTTGTAATAATCGACTGTGATTCGCCAATTCTTACTGCTTACAACTTACGACAGATATTGTAGAATGACCTTTAGTTCCTCATATTCGGCTGCTTCAGCAGACTTCTCAAGCTGTGCAAATTTTCACTTCTAGACGAGCGATCTTTAATAGCGACTAGTCGATGGTTAAAGGAAAAATGCTAGACCGCCATATTAACAGCGAACCGTGACTTTAGACATCAAATGTCTTCTGTCCCTCGGATATCAGTCCCACGATATTATGCTCCGTTGTACTATATTCTTGTGTCTATGATAAGTACACAATTTATACGTGCCCTGTATTTACGTATCATTCTGTGCGTTCCATGTATCCGCCATATACTGTTCTAACGTTTCCAAAAATGGATATCTTCATCTAATTTAACTAGGAAATCGCGTGTGAGTTAATTACGTGTTGGCGCAATTTGCGTGACGCGTCGATGAAAACATGTTTCTGGTTCGGAGGTTACACGTATCGCGATGATTTAATTGTGAAAATGACATAAATCATATTGCGCGTGTTTTCTATATAAAGGTGGGAGAGAGGGAAAAGACAGAGAAAGAGAGGGTGAAGGAGAGAGAAAGAGAGAGAGAGAAAGGAAGAGAGAGATGTGTCGGTGGATAAATTACTACAATTTGCTTAATAGCTAATAGACTCAAAATTACTGGTATGCTTTTACGATTCGCTCATGATGTCCGTATACGCGACGATACTGCCTTTCATCTTCTTGGGATTATTAGGTAACATATACATAGTAATACCTCACATTTAAAGTATATTTCTTATTTTGATCTAAGATTTTATTCAACAAATTTAAGAGATTGCAGATATTTTTCAGAGAGAAGAAGAAAGTTTCAAAGAGAAACTATTACTGGTTAGGATTATGAGAGTTTGTGTCAGTTTCTTTTTTTTATATACATTTGATAATAATAATTTATTTTCTTAACTTTATATGCTTTAAACATTATGACATATTCTGATAGTTATTTTGTTCTAATAAGAAGTAACATTTATTAAATTATATTTTATATATAGTAAACTGTACTGATTTAATGATAATTAAAAATTGTAACACAAATTTTTAAATATGATATTCAAATTTTCTGTATCAGTTTTTCATATTATATATGTTTCATACTATATATGTTTCTATAAACTTCCTACAACATATTGATAAATTAAAAATATATATTTTGATCTAAATCTTGTTTTTAATGTCTATAGTTCATGTATATATAGTTCATGTTTTTAATGTCTATAGTTTCATATATATATAATATATAAATAATCTTTATCCTATATATTTTTATTTCATATTTTATTTTATATTTATGATCAAATAGTTATATATCTATTTAGATAATAATTATTATGATTAAAATTTAAATGAATATGAGATTATATTACAATAATTTCTAACAAGAAATTAGAACCATATTTATTTGTATAAAGTTTCTGAATCTGTTTAATATCTATTATTAATTCTTAAATATAAGCATTTTTTAGTAAAGATATATACTAATAATAAAAATGCATAGATTTAACAAAATTTTTTTATTATTCTTTTCAATTATATATATATATATATATATATATATTAAATTATAAATAAATAAGCATATAAAAGAATTCTATTATTTGTTTTGTTATAAGTTCTAGCTAAAAAAATATTCTTTCTTTTCATAAAGTATTGACAAATATAAATTTGCTTTGCTAAATTAAATATACTTTGATGGTAAAAATATAAAAGTAAATTTTATTCTTCAATTAATTATAGATAAATTGAAGCTTAACCAAACATTTTGTTTATATTAATCACAAAGATATCTTAGAATGTTCAAAAATTAGAAAATTACAAGAAAAGATTATTATATGATAAAATATTGTATATATATAATGTATAGTGATAAATATTGTATAGTGATAAAATATTAAATTTTCCAAAAAGATCAATAAATAAAAATCTGTAGTTATATATTATATATATATAAATATAGAAAGTTACATGATTACAAAATTTAATTTGTTAAAACTATCTTATATTGCAATTATATTTCAATTTTTAGAAATTACATTTGGGAAAGATATTAAAGGCTCAGCCTTTTGCGAATTTTACAATGAAACCATGTGTGCTGAGTCTCAACAAGGATGTTCAGGAAAAGAGGAATGTGTTCTACATGATCCAGACAAGCGGAATCATTGTTATGTACTATGGCAAATTGACAATGTCACCAAAAAATCGATAATTAAGTTGAAAGTAAGTTACTCTAATCAACAGTTTATTATTTATAATTTATTCATTAATTTATTGTGCAAACTTTTAATAAAAATATCGAGAATCAGAGGAAAGAGTAAAACTTGAGACAGTATATATCAGAAATAAGATAAAGAAAAAGTATGTGTGTTGCATGTATATTTAGAGACAGAAATTATTTATGATATTCATTATTAATTTCTATTTAATTACTTTATATAGTAACATGAGCTTTCTTTAAATATCTTTTCTATATCATTGTACATAATGTTTATAACATGCATTATATATTGTTTATATAATTTTTTCTTTGAGAAAAAAAAGGAGCAAGCTTACAAGTCACGAGTTTATAAATAATTGTCAAAGTTGATAATTATGAATTTTTCTTCTATTACTAAGTATATTTTCTACATGATATTTGTGATACTTTCAGGGTTGCTTTTTAGATAGCAATGATTGTTACGATAAGCCAAAGTGTATCGAGAATACGGAAAGAAGGAAGGATTTATTTTTTTGTTGCTGCGATGGTAATATGTGTAATGAAGATTTTTCTTTCGAACCACTTCCGACTTTACCCTCCAAGCCTACACAGCCATCTGTTATTCATGGTATATGCTACTTTATCCACACATCTGGTGTTTCTAAGTATATATCATAATACAACTTTAAATAATTAACTTTTCAGAGTCTGAACCAGTCCCTGATGAAAAACAGCCAATAACAATATTAATATCAATATTAATTACAACACTTTTCATATCAATTATTGTGTTGTTTTCTTTATGGTACTATCGTCGTCAGAAATCGGGTGATTTTAACGAGGTTGTATATTGATATTGTTTTACTTAACATTGTGAATTCACCATATTTATAAAATTATTTGTAAATCTTTCAGTTACCAACAGGGGAACCTCCGTTGCCAGAATCGTCACCTAATCTGGGTTTACGACCGATACAACTTCTTGAGATTAAAGCTCGGGGCCGCTTCGGAGCAGTTTGGAAAGCTCAATTGAAGCATGAGATTGTGGCAGTTAAAGTTTTTCCCATTCAGGACAAGCAGTCTTGGCAGACTGAACAAGAAATTTTTAAGCTTGCACATATGGATCATGAAGATATATTACGTTTTATAGGAGTTGAGAAGCGTGGTGATAATTTACAAGCTGAATTTTGGTTAATTACAGCATTTCATGAAAAAGGTTCATTGTGCGATTACCTGAAAGCAAACGTTGTGACATGGCCTGAGATGTGTAGAATCGCAGAATCTATGGCAAGGTAATTATTACTTGCGACAATGGTTATATATTTATGAATACAAAACAGAGGTAACTTATAGAGTAGATTATGTTTGTACTAAGCTGTAATTTCTACTTTATATATAACAAAAGATTGGTGTTTCCAGAGGTTTAATGCATCTACACGAAGAAATCCCCGCTAATAAAGCAGACGGTTATAAACCTGCTGTAGCTCATAGGGATTTTAAGTCAAAAAACGTCTTGCTAAAAGCTGACATGAGTGCCTGTATAGCAGATTTTGGTTTGGCACTTATCTTTCACCCAGGAAAGCCTTGTGGCGACACACATGGACAAGTAAGGCTTCTATGTACATATTATCATGTACTTTATTACATGATGCTAAATTTATTTCTTTTATAGGTTGGGACACGAAGATATATGGCACCAGAGGTGTTAGAAGGGGCAATAAATTTTACTAGAGACTCATTTTTACGGATTGACATGTATGCATGTGGGTTAGTGCTGTGGGAATTAGCTTCGAGATGTACTGTACAAGATGTACGTAATAGCATTAATAGTAAAATAATAATTTATGAGAGTCATTGTAGGTTAAATATTGCACGAATACAGTTTATTTACGAATACAGTAAGAATATAACGGAAATGTTGCATTATCATATAAGTCAAACATTGCAATTTTGATTTCTTTTCGATGAATAGAACTGTATATATATTCGCATGTAGAATAAGCGAATGAAATAAATATTTCTTGTATTTATTTATCCAGTTTGTCCCATCCAATTGCAAACAGTTTGTTTTACTGAGAAGAGTCTAAAATTGTAGTCGAAGCATTTGGTTTATATGATAATGTTTTCATTATATTCGTGCAGGCAATTAAAAGAAATCTGCTCGCGCAACGTTCAATCTGTACTGATTTTTATTAATTTATTATTGTTTTTTATCATAAATTCGTGACATTTATTAATTGTAAGATGAGCTTATATCTCATACATAATATACTTTACAAATGATAATTTGTAAATTACTATTCATGAAAACAGTGACGTAAATTTTGATATTTGCGCTAAATTATATGAATGTTCAATATTATATATTTCATAAACATTAATTATAATAAATCACAAAACATTTAACCACAAATTTTGAAACTTCCTAATCGTTATTTTAAAATGTTATTTTAATTATTACTTTAAAATATTTTAATCATTACTTTACGATTTATTAATCATCTTTCTCACTCCGATATAGGGACCAATAGGAGAATATCGTCTACCATTTGAAGATGAAGTTGGACTTCATCCCACTCTAGAAGACATGCAAGAAAGTGTTGTTCATAAAAAGGAAAGGCCTCTCATTTTAGAAACTTGGCGTAAACATTCAGTAAGTTAAACGATACTCTTTACGACGTTCTTTTGTGTGTGTGTGTGTGTGTGTGTGTATCATATTTTGTATATCATATTTTTTAATACAAGTACAGAAATGCTTCAAAACAATATACGCGAAATATTTCAACTTATACATTAATATAAAGTTACAACCGAGATATTTGATTTCAGGGACTTTTATCAATTTGTGATACAATGGAAGAATGTTGGGATCACGATGCCGAAGCACGTCTTTCTGCCTCGTGCGTAATGGAACGAGTTGCTACTCTCAGTAGAGCTCTTATATTAAATTCATCTACTTTGATTCGAGTTGATCATACCAACGAGATTATTACTACCAAGGAATCTAGTATGTAGTTAGTGTCTCTATACATTATTATAGTTTTAGTTATATTGCACAACCATTTTGTATCATAATTTTGTTATACGTAACAATGAGGAATGTTGAAACAACAGTAAAAAAAAAAAAAACCAGCATATATCTACAGTCTTACGCTTTACTATTTGATCGAATAATTTATTAATTATTCCTCTAAGACGTGCGCGTGTAAATGGTTATCACGATGTTAAAAAGTTCATTTCTTCAATTTGACAAAAATATGTAAATTGTATATCGCGTTATTTCTACTAATATCTTTTCATGCATTGGCAACTTGGATCGTCAATGTTAGAGAAATATCGGAAAGGTCGGAGAAATATCTTAAATCTTTATTTTAATAAAATAATAATACAAGGTAATGGTACAAGAGTAAAATAATATAATTTTGAACGTAAGTAATCATACATATGAGATATAAGTGACAAAGTTAAATATAAAGCGGTAAAATGATACCCCATTATTTGCCAAATTATATCTCACAATATCATACTTTGTACATACAACTTTCTCTGTTTTAGAAACATAAATATAAAACATGATTTTAAAATATGTACGTACCATTGTCAATTCGTAATAACTTGCAGATGACAACACAAAGAGATGCATATTTCGTTATCTTTTTTTCGCTTTTATTTTATTTAGTAAAAAACAAGTGTGGATTGTACTCTTAGAATGTTGGATGCAGATCTGATACTGAAATGTATGAATTTTTGTAACAAAATGACCAAAACAGTTTTGTGGTGGGTATGTTAGATTGAATAATTAGTTGAAAGTGATTCATAAATGTTTCATTGAAATTATACTAAAATTTTATATCTATCATTGTAAATAAATATTGTATATTCAGACAAAGCATATAAATATTTGAAATACAGTTAAAAATTCCTTACTGGGGTATTTCTAAAATTTAGAAGGTTAGTATCATTAACCAGTTAAAAATGTATGCCATTTTTAATATAAATGAGCGATTTGTTTATCTCAGATTTGTATAGATATTTTTTTATAAGTAAAAAATCCATATAAGAAAGTATTTCCCTTTATATATTTCGCAATATGAACAAGTGAACGTATTTCATGAAGTTATCTCGATGAAAAGCGTCTCCTCTGCTAGAGAAGCAAATTAGGTTCACGTAAGACTGTGCTTTATTAGCACATTTAATATTTGACAGAGATAACTGCGGCACAACAGAGATAAAATAAACGCTCATAAACGGCATCTTGGCATGCAATGCTACAACGAACAGTGCGTTGTACGAGTTATAATGCTCGTACCGTGGGATTAAATTAGTGACTCTCTTAAGTAAGACCGAAATTGATATAACTTCGACGACGCGAGTTAAAACAAAAGTCTTATTCGGTAAATATTTCATTATAACTTCCTAAATTCAAAAAAGATCTTCGAATTTTCGAAATTTATCGGAAATTCTCTCTCAATAATAAACTCGTAAAGAAGTAAGACCGAGATTGCAATTTCGATGACGCGAGTTTAAAACGACAACTTTATTCGGTAAATATTTAATCATAATTTTTAAAACTTTGAATTTTCGGTATTTTCTTGTCGGAATGTCGGAAATTTTCTTTCGGTAACTCGTAAAATAGAAAAAAATAATATACTTATCGCTTTGACATTTATATTTGAATTAATTAGGTATTGACTTATCCGACGTCGTTTTATTCGAAATTAAATAACGTGGAAAGAAGAGAGAAAAGTCTCTACAGAGAGAAATAGGTGGATAAATAGATGCGTTTATTGTCATTTTAGGATTTATCCTCTTTAAGAATATTGCGGCAAAAAGAAAAAATATATAAATTACTGAATACAAAAATATTTTAAAAGAAAAGAAAAAGAGAAGCAGTTATAACAAGTTATAATAAATGAGAGACAGAGAGAGAGAGTGAGAGAGGGAGGGGGGAGGGAGAGAGGGAGGGAGAGGGAGTGTAAAATGTCGCAATATTCTAAAAGTATTGCGGCAAAAGGAAAAAATATATAAATTACTGAATACAAAAATATTAAAAAGAAGAAAAAAGAAACAATTATAACAAATAAGAGAGAGGGGAGAGGAAGAGGAAAAGAGAGAAAGAAAGAGAGAAGGAATGGGAGAGAAGTAGTGGGGAGGGGGAGGAGAATAAGCAAAGGAACATATCTCTTTTTACGACGTAAGTTTTTAGAGTATTTGTCAAGTATTGTACATGCGTATAGCGCGCGAGAGTAGGGAGACCTGATTGGTTGATTGGACGTCAGAGCGCGCACAAATTGCCGACCGCCAATCGACGGTGTCAATTTTTCCTTTGAAATTCACAGTACCTTTTAGTTCGCGTCGCGCCGTGCCGCGCTGTGTCGTGCCGCGAATGCAATGGTTCTTCCGTTATTCCTTTCGAATGTTCTTTGCGATTTCGCGAGTTTCTTCTCTCGGCGGCGGATTAATGTTGTGCAACTTTTAATTTCATCGCAAAAGAAAGGACTTTAGACAGTTCTCTGCTGAATACAGTTGCTCTTTGAGTACGGAAGGTAAGTGTGAGGGTTTGATTTTGAATTCTGTACTGATTTTGGTGCTCGTAACTTTCTTTACCTGTCTCTCTCGAAGGAAATCCATAATGTACAAAAAAATATTAAAAACCAGTTTTCGTTTGTTCGAATAAAAACAACTCCGTCTGAGATAAATGCATTAAAAATGTCGCATAATTTCGTTAGTTAGTTTAACATTTTTGCCAAACGATGCTGTATCGAAATAATTTCGCGCTTTCGAATTTTCTATTTCATATTTTCCATATTCCTATTAGTAGTGGTATGATATGACAGAATAATGAGAAAATAGATTTTTAAAAGTTGGGCAATTTCAGAATGGAGCGGAGTTTTACACTTTCAAATTAAACCCTCGTATCCTCTTCGGAAACATTACACTACTAGAAAAGGATATATTTGTGTGCAAGTCTCAAAATGAGACGATTTTCGAGTAGAATTTCTCATCAAATTTGATCCCAATGATATCGCCATTTTCAACGAAACGGTCATTAGTTCATAAAATCATGATCGAGATAAAACGTTTCACCCGAGGCGCTTTGTCATATACTCCGCGAGTTACTTTCATCCTTCGCCTCGACGCTGTGCGCGATAGAAGACCCGCAAATTTCGAGTGTATTTCTCTGGCCGCGAGACTAAAATATACGAATCGAACGTGCATCGTGCGTCGTCGTCGGCGTCGCCGCGCAGAGTCGAGCGCGGAGCGCCGCGTCGCTCGAAGAGAGGAAGCAGCGGTCCTCGTCGGCCTCCTCCTCCTGGAGCACGTGCCCCTCCGGCTGTCAGTCGCGTGTCATCGCTGGCCGGTGGACGCGACCGGGCAGGTTGATCGCGCCGGCGAAGTTGATCTCGCGTGAGAGCCGTCAGTTATCCAGTATAAAATTATAACAGAGAAGCTACATTGTTGTATGATATCGCGCGCGCAACGGGAGGGAGTGCGAGGCTACGATCGCAGAGAATCTTCGCAAGAAAGAGTTGAGCGCTTTCTCGACGTGGACGATACGTGGGGCACAGGAGGAAGACGTCTACTTTCGTGGTCGTGGAAGAGCGGCCGATTAAGCGTGCAGCTTAAAATATACGATTCAACAACACGGTAAAACTACATCACGTATGGTCATCCCGCTGGGTCGCGCCGCGTCGTGTTTTCGCGGACTGCATTTCGCGCTCAACACGAACGATTGATCACTCCCGCGATTGTGTCGTCGAGTATGACAGACGCGACAGCACGATATCGGGGAGTTCTCTCTCTCTCTCTTTCTCTCTCTCTCTCTCTCTCTCTTTCTCTTTCTCTCTCTCCTTCTCTCCCTCTCTCCACCTTCTCACTCGTCTGAAACGATATCATCCCGCGATGTTAAAATTTAGCGTAATTACTCACACGTTCATACGCCAACAATCTTACGAATGCAGCTGTAATGTAGCTCTGCAGCTTGATGGTCGTGCTGTTGTCTCATTAATTTTATAACACGGCAGTTTACGATATACATTACGGCGTGACGAAGTAGCGCTTATTTTTCATGGCGGGTTTACGGGGCAACAGAATGATATTGCCGTACACGCACGTCTGGCTTATGAAAATGATAAAACTCGAGAGAACACTCTATACGCTCTTTAGGCGCACGATGCGCCTTACGATTTATATATTATAGATCGCTGATGGGAATGATAGAGGCTCTTTTTCTCCCTTCCTCTCTCTCTCTCTCTCTCTCTCTCTCTCTCTCTCTCTCTCTCTCTCTCTCTCTCTCTTTTTCTCATCTTCTCTTGGGGAATAATTTGCCACTGTATGTCTATAAATCTGCGAAGGCAACGTCGGAAGGGTTAAATCGCCGATAAATCTCTCGCCGACTACGCCGCACAGTAATCGCTTTTAAATTAGCGATCCGGAATTCATTCCCAGAAGTAACGCATTTCTCCCCCTTTCTCATTCTCTCTCTCTCTCTCTCTTTATCTTATTCGCGCGCGCACATAGAAATTCAGGAAGCCGCGGAAGCAGGTAGTATATGTCGGCACAAAGATTATTTACAATTGGAATTTATAATTGGATAATATTAAGTGTTTCGGTTAGTCTCGAGGAACTTTTTGCAAAAGAAACACGTTTACGTTTTACGTTTTGCAAAAGAAACATGTTTATTGAGAAACGTTAAATTATATTTTATTCAAAATACTTTCCATTATTAGCTATAACTTTTTCCCACTTTTCGGGCAACAAGTATATTCCGCGATAAAAGAAATGTTCGTTCTTCGAAGCAATTCACTCGCCGAGCCGCTTTTGTATTTCCTCGAATGATTTGAAGTGCTGGTCAGCAAGGCTGTGCTACATAAAAATACGTGGTAATCGGAAAGAGCGCAGTCTGATGAATACGCGGCGTAGAACTTCCCATTGAAGTGCCGATAATGTATCCTTAACTGTTTTTGCAACGTGCGGTTGAGTATTGTTATGCAACAAAATCACTTTGCATTTTCTTTGAACTATTACTGGACATTTTTGGTTTAAAGTATGATTCAAATCGATTAATTGTTACTGATAACGTAGAGTAGAGACTGTTTGATTCGGTTGTAGCAACTCATAAATGCACAATAACAAAACCCTTACTTCCATGGATGTTGCGTTTTGGAGTCGATATCGATGATTGGCTTGGACTTATCCACGACCTTTTATGCTTAGAATTATCATAGTATAACAGATCTAGTTTTCATCTCCAGTTATAATTTGAGACAAGAACTGCTTCTTTTTGTGACGAGAAAGCAATAAAGTGCAAATGGTTAAACGATTTTGAATGGCCAATTCAGACAATGCACGTGGAACCCATTTGCCTTCTTTTTGAATCTTCCCCATTGCGTGTAAACAATCTGAAATGATTGATTTACCAACATTTAAAGCATCAGCTACTTCTTGAAGCGTTTGAGCTGAGTTTTCATCCAATAATGCCTGCAATTCGGCATCTTCAAACTTTTTTGGTTGACCTGAACGTTCTTTATCTTTCAAATCGAAATCATCACGCTGAAATCGCCAATACTATTACTCGCATGTTTTAACTGATGGAGAAAAGTCAGAATAAGTTTCTGAATCGGTGGGTTCCAGCAGTTGTTTCCTTCGAATCGAAACGATAAAGCAGTAAATGTTGAAAATACTCTTTACCACGCTCCATTTTCAATTGCAAAAAATGTGGTTATGTTCAGGAATGCACATGTCAAATTATTTATAGAAATGTTCAAGCTTTAAAATGGCGTGCCAACTTTCAAAATATTTCCAGTAGATTTGTAGCTATAGCCATCTATATTAAGCTCTCAAAACTAATCGGAACATCTAATATATATTGATATGGGATCTGCGTTTCCTTCAACTTTTCATCCTAGGACTATCTTCATGTCTATCGCACGTTCAGTTTAAAGTTACCGGGCGGGATTTTACCGAAAAGGACATTCGCTGTGGAGTTTAAGGCTGAGTTGTATTCTCATATTTCTCGCGACTCGCCAGGGGAAAGGTTAAACGGATCACGGAAGAAAAAGGGAGCAAAACTGCGAACGCGCGCGAGTTTGAGTGGTGTACGCTGAATGAAATCCCCTCGAGGTATCACTGAGGGAATAGAGGCTCTCGTGAATTAAAACTCACGCTTTTCAGCTCCCTAGGTATAACGATTAGCTTTCGTAAACATCGCGCCCCTAGCTTCCGATCGATCAAAATCGAAGATTTAGGCAGTTGTCGCAACGTTATCATCATTATTTCATCATCATCATCATCATCATTATCTATACAGATTTCAGTAGATTTTTTTTTGACAAAAAAATAACCTATTACAAAGAAAATTCTACACATGCTTCCATTTCCCGCGAGACTCGTGCTGTATTGACGCACCAAAATACATTGCGATACAATGATACAATAAAATGAATACAAAATATCTAGAAAACAGTTTCGAAACGATAAATTATGGAGCTGACGAGTTCGCGTCGAACGGTAATTTTAAGACAAAAAGATTCGCGCGACAAATCAGTAAAAGATTTTTCTAACGTTGCCATTTAACGATATCGAGTTAATCGAATTATTCTTAATGTCCGTTTCTAGTAATATTGATTAAAGCTTAACTTGAGTTTAAACTCTATTCAGATAAAGGTTCGAACTCAGATGAAAGTTTAATCGACGTTAGCAGAAATAGGTATAGAACGGGTATATATCTCTTGGTAGTCCTTGCTTTTTCTTCACCGTCTAGCTTTTCGCAGACAATAATAGAATGAGCGCTCGGCAGTCACCGGGGACACATTCAGTTACCAGAGGTGTGTACCTTTGCCCTATGATACCATCAAGATTACCGGCCTTATTGTTGGGCCACCATGAGAGGTGCTTGCCGAATAATGGGAGAATGCATCACCGCAGTTTCCGGTATAGTGAGGAGGCTATCCGCGTCTGTAGGAGTATAAGCATCGCTGTTGATGGTCGATATTATCGACCTCGAGTGCTCGTCAGCTTCGTCTAACAGTTCCGAAGTGGCATCTTAGCCGGATCAAGCGAAGCGCTACGTGTGGATGACTGCTCGAACGTCAACCCGAGCACGATCATTTCGTATTTCAGCGCGGACGCAAGCCTAGAGATTAGTCAAGGGATTAAGTCAATGCCGTTCAATAAAGTTTCCCCTCTCCCCGGTTATCTTGACTCGTTGACATCGTTCACTGGTTAACGATCCGTGATGATCCTTTCGTAACGACGCTTACGTACTTGGATTCGTTAAGTGCGAAGCGCGAGGAATCGTACGTACAAATGTGCGGAATGTTGACACGCGAACGTTGATTTGCATACACTTAAATTGCAGGCGGGCCATTAGTTTACGACGTTTATTATATTATTATTATCGGACACCTCGAAAAATTTCTTCGTGCTCTTCCCTCTTTATGCAAAGTAATTCTCAGGTTAGTGCAAAAATATTGGGGTTGTTCGCAAAGTAATTTCGGTTTTTGCATGAAAATGAAAGACGATATTTTTAATAGAGAGAAAAGTTTTATTCTGTTAAGTATTGATCCCATTTTAACACCTTTTGCCATCTTTGAGGTAATAACATGATCCCACGTAAAACTTCTGGTCCTTATTGGCAAAAAACTGAATTAAGTGGTTTTTTACACCTTCATTTGAGTCGAAAGTTTTACCATCCAAAGAATTTTACAGCGACTGAAATAAGTGATAATTGGATGATGCCAGATCAGGGGAATATAGTGGGTGCGGTAGCAAATCCTATCCAAGCGCTAACAGCTTCAGACGAGTCATTAAACTTGTGTGAAGTCTGGCGTTGTCATGATGAAACACAACACCTTTTCTGTTCGCCAATTCTGGTCTCTTCTGCTTGATGAAATCATTCAATTTGTCCAATTGATGACAATTCATATTCAAATCAATCGTTTGGTTGTTTGGTAGCAGCTCAAAAAAGACCATTCCTTTCCAATGCTACCAAATAGAGAGCATCACTTTCTTTTGATGGATATCATGAGCTGGTTCATCATGTCTGTTTCATGATCTTTTGCGTTTAATATTGTTGTACACAATCCATTTTTCATCTCCAGTTATGAGTCGCTTCAGAAATGAATCGTTCTCCTCACGTTTCAACAGCAAATCGTAAATGATAACGATGAATCAAATCTCTTTCTTTGAGAACGTGTGGAACCCAAATATCGAGCTTTGGAACGAAACCAAGTTGTTTCAAATGCTCATGTACGGTCAAATTCGATAAATTCAATCATTCAGCAACTTCTCGTATTGTTAAATAACGATTTGCGTCCATCAATGCCTTTATTTGGTCTTCATCAGTCGTTTCAACTGACCTTCCAGAACGTGATGCATCTTTGAGATCGAAATTCCCAGAACGAAAATTAGGAAACCAATTCTGACACTGGCGATTTCAGTCAACACATCCTTTCCATATACGGCATACAATTTTTTTCTTGCTTGCGCTGCAGTTTTGTCTTTACGGTAAAAAAGCATAATGTGACGAAAATGTTCATGTTGGTTTTCTATTTTTGATGCGGCGCCAAACAAAAACAACTTGACAGACTCCAAAACAATTTTTTTTCAAATGAAACTTGAAATGTACGTTGTAAAAATATAAAATGATTTTCTAGTTTAGAATGAGATTAACTGCTTAAAAAGGCAACTAACACCATCTGTTTGAAAAAATCGAAATTACTTTTCGAACAACTCAATAATTGCGGTTTTTACGTATCGAATATAAAGACGTATTGCATATATTGGTTAAAAATTATATTTATTAATCAAAATAAACACCATTGGCCTGCACACATTTCTCCCAACGGAAATAAGTTTGTTTATTCCTATAAGATAGAATTCTGAAGTTTTGGAATTAACGCATTCATCGAAAGCGCTTTGAATTGATATTTGGAAACCTTTTCTCATAGGAAATTACTCAAATGTTTAAAAAAACGATAATCTGTCGGAGACAAGGCCAGTGTTGAGTTGTATGTTCACTAATTGATTCTTCGCCAAAAACGAATTTGATATTTTGAGCAGTTTCTATTGCTTCACGTCCCAATTTAAACTCATACAATAAAATCGCGTGAATTTGCTTTTTCTCCATGACTAATTTAAGAGGTTATATCCAACAATACTAAAGAATGAAAACAATAGACATAAGCTCAAAAATCAGTAGTACCAATTTCATTGTTTACAATGATGTATCACATGACTATAACAAAAGATAACGATAACTAGAAAAATCGGCGTCAAACTTAAAAACTGCAATTATTTCTGCATCAACTTAATAAAATAAGTAGCAACAGCTCGGACGTCAAATGAAAGATTCCGATGCAAAATCTGTATTCTTCATGTGCATCAATAAAATATGAATAAAAACAAAACCTATCTGAAAAAAATAAAAAATCACCGAATCCCGAATCAAAATCCCGAAAATCTGAATAGAAAAAGACCGCAGAAAGTTTCGGAAGAGCGGAATGATCCGTGAGAATGTATTATAATCAGAGCGCTACTTTAAATTACCGAGAACAACAAATCTTATATATCGAATTGTCAGCCACGAAAATATTCGAGCTGATTAAATTATTCATTGAAGAGTATACAATTTTTGAATTTTCTTTGTTTTAACTTATATAACCGCGTGTGTCTCGGGCGGAAAACAGTTCTAGTAGTTAACCGAGCACAAACTCGGCGAGAAAGAATTCTGATAGAATCTCTGGCTGAACTTGTCGACATCGAACTACCAAGTGACATCCGAGCTGTGTGTGGAAACTTTCGTGTGGAAAGTCTCGTGTGGAGGCTCCTTCGAGACGACGAAAGCGCTTAAAGGACAACAAGCGCGTATAACGAACACCGAGGCGGCGATCCGCGACGATTTACGGGACGTTATTTCTCCCCACGAGAAGCTACAACTCTCACGAAAATATCTCGCGAACCGCCGCATTTTTGGTCACGTGACCCCGTTGCCATAATCTCCCGCGCTAAAATGAAGGCAGCCGCATGTCGAGAACACATTGACATTGAAACTGCGACGTTGGGATAGCATCAGGATCTACGAGAGTGAATCCCCGGCACACCGTTTCTCGGATATTACGGCAAGGAAAAACAAGCCCGTGGAAATGTATGCGGCATGTATTCCGGACGTAAAGAACTTTGACAGCTCGTCGGAGAGGTCATTTTGAACTGAGGATATTCAAAGTGCCTATGGGAGAGATCGTACGGAAGATTAGAGCTTTACCAACGTAATAAATTCCAAAGTTTAATGTCAAGACGAGAGAAAGGAAAGAGATGTGTATAAATATGAATATAAATTTTTTGCAAAAAAAAATAAAATAAACGAAACACACAGAGGGTAGAGCCAAATATTGCACAAGTTGTTCGTCATCAAACAAGTTGGGTTATTATGAAATTGCAAACCACTTTAAATCCTGCGTTTGATGATTTCCTCCTCAAAGTTAGCCAGATCAAAGAAAGAGACAGAGGAAGAAAGAGAGAGGGAGAGAGATTCGTACTTAAGAGAAGTTTCCAGTCGTTATAGAATTTTAAATAAATAAATTCCTTCTTTCTCTCCTTTGGATCCACTTGTCCTTGTATGAATCCGGTTCCAATATTATCAAGGAATCTTAAAATGTTAAACGGCATTGAAAGAATTCTCTTCTCTTTCCTCAGACACATTCGCCTCTTTTTCAAATCAAGAGATCTCGGAGAAATCAACCTCTCGACGGGGCATTGATCCGGGAATTCTCATCGAAGGGCGGCGTCGCGGGGGTGGAGATACCGGCGAGACATGGCCTCGTTCGCCGCGAACGGCACAAAACGGCCGGTCGGCGATAATTACGCGCTGAACGTTTTCAACTACAACGAACTGAACGAGTCGCTGAGCGCCGAGCTCCACTGCCTCGTACACGAGCACCAGGACCAAATCAGCAGTAAGCAGGAGCAACAAGGGTGCGAGGTTAGCTGGGATACCGTGCTATGTTGGCCCAGGACACCTCCCGGCACTCTAGCTACCATCCCCTGCTTCGAAGAGTTTAACGGAATACTTTATGATAACAGCGGTGAGTAAACACACTTGCTGTTTTCGTATAATATAATGCAGACGCCGGAGACAGCATTCGTGACATGTTTCAGATGGCAGAGATAATTTTTTCTTCTTTTTCTACTTTTTTCCCATCTTTTCGCTATTAGTGTCGAAGTGCTTCGCTCTCCTCATGACGAGATCTTGTCAGAAAGTGATTCTTGAAAGTCGCAAAATCTGAGAAGCGAAACGTGTCGCGATCATTTCGGTGCCAACTATAAACGCGTTTACGAGACTTGTCAAAGTTGGGAACACTGCTCCGGGAGTGACGTGATACCGTCTAGAGGCGGCTGTGCTTAAAAATTTATTTCTATACACTCAGCGACGTCATGCCTCTCGACACAAAATAATACACAAATCACAAATTCATCACATCACACAAATTCATCACATATCACAAATTCACAATACTCTACATCGTAACTGGAGAGATCGCTAGTTATAATCAAGTCAGTTACTTTTGATCATTTTACAGAAATCGTGATTGCTCGAGTATTCCGTTCTTTATAAACATACAGATCTGCAACAGCTTTGGACAATTTGTGATTTCAAATTTTTACACGATAAAGCTCTTTAACAAGAATTTTTTTTAAATCATATTCATGTAATTATTGTTGTTCCGTTGGAATAACTAATGGATGTTAAGACTGGTGTGACCAGCCGAAAAAATAAGTAATTTCTAAGTGTGGATTGCCGAAGAAATAAAAAAACTGTAGTTTGGTAGTTTATTTGTGTATACAATGAGGGTATAAAATATGCAAAGTGAAAGGAAAAATAATAATTTTAGTACCATTTATTGAAATGTAATAAAAAGTCAATTTCTTTCACATGGATCATTGGTATCGATGATTCCGCCATATTGGTTCGTCTGAAATCAAAAAACGAATAACATTATTTTACTGTATTGTATTCCCTAAGCACACTGACCGAGCTTATTCAAAATTTGTTGAAATTTAACTAAAAACACAATGTTTGAACTTTTGGTTTAATTTTTAGCACAAATATTGTTCATGAATTTCTTAATATTTTGCAAAATAATAATGATTATAAAAATCCTCGGTCAATGCTTAAAGAAAACTATAAGGATAATAAAAAACCAAAATTCAAGTCAATCTGATGAATACATCCCGAGAAACCTTCAACACCAGTTTGAAAAACGAAGTTTCGAGAAAAACGCATTTAAAGTTTTACAACATAGTCTTTATATTATATAATGAAAACTTTTTTCTTCTTACCGTTAATTTACCATGTATCTTCGTAATAATTGTCCTCCTCATGGCCGCTTCCTGCCTTGCTCTGCTTTGAAATACGACCTTCTTTATTTGCTTCGAATGTGCATGCCTCAGCGATCGAAATTCGTTTTTCGTCCAAGGCTTCGCAAATACTTGTTGTAACCGGTCCGATGACTATATTCATGGTATTCATCACTAAAAGAATGCTTGAATAGCTATTATTGAATATACTAAGTTTTCCAAAAGTAACGGACCCCCCTTACCTCAGAATTTATGCATCATAGGGAAAAATGACCCGAACAAAAGTTTTAAAGTTCATAAAGTTCTGTTTTTTTGTGGCCTCAAATTTGACCTTGATCTCGATCTTGAAGGTCATTTTAAGGTCAACTTGCGTTTTTTAAATGGGAACCCCTACTTTTTATTACACTGTTTTCTTCTACCAATTTTTTTCTACCAATTCTACCAATTTTACCAATTCTACCAATTTGTTTTCCTTCTACCAATTAATTTTAACAACTTTTGTCTGATCATTTTTTTATTTGCCTAATATTTTTTGAGATACGTATTTGAGATATTTGAGACTCGTATTTAAGGAAAACACTTTTTCAATATTTAACTTACGATATCTTGTCAACTATTCGTCGGAAGAAACAATTAGACTTTTTTACTCTACTTGGTCTCAAGAATACATTTTTACAATAGCATCCTGACTTTTGTTAATTTGATGATTTTGAAATTTCCAAAAGTCAGTAAGTTACTAAAAGTCAGGGCGCTGTTGTAACAACATATTCTTGAGATTAAATAGAGCAAAAAAGTCTAGTACCATTTTTTCTTCCGACAAAAAGCGAGATATCGTAAGTTAAGTATTGAAAAAGTTATCAAGTTTTCCTCAAATATCTCAAAAAATATTAGGTAAATAAAAAAATGTTTTAGACAAAAGTTGTTCAAATTAATTTGTAGAAAAAACAGTGTAATAAAAAATAGGGGTTTCCATTTAAAAAACGCAAGTTGACCTTCAAATGACCTTCAAGGTCGAGGTCAAGGTCCAATTTGAGATCACGAAAAAACAGAACTTTATGAACCCTAAAACTTTTGTTTGAGTCATTTTCCCTATAATACATAGATTCTGAGATGGGGGGGTCCGTTACTTTTGGGAAACTTGGTACTGCTGGCAATATTGACAGTAATTTCAACACATTTAGCACCACTAAATGTTTTTGGAGCGAAGGTCCAAATTAGCGCGTTCAGGCTCTCGTTCAAATATTGAATGTAACCACCTAAGGGGGGATGCACAATACCAATATTCTGACTTGCTAGACTTGCTTAGCTTGTTAGGGTGCGCACGGGCAATTCTGAGCGGCCGGCGCGTCGCGTAGGTACGAGCCTGTTATAAGCCGGCTGTACGCCCACTGTAGGCTGTGTAACTTGAAAACTAACTTGAATTTATAGATACTTGGAACCTTTTGTTCCTTATTCTAGAAACTTCAAACTATTTCTTGAAACAAACAAATTTTTTTTCATTTTTTTAAACTTTTATATCAGTTTAGGCCCCTTAATTTAGACGACAGTTCGCAGTTCGGAATTGATAAATTACAAATATCAGGGAATATAGCATCTTAAACAAGCAACTCGTGTTTTCTCTTGCCCGTAATCAAACTGTGCGCTTCAGATTGCCTGGGAGCGAAAATAAAGCTATGAATCCGTTTGTTGCATACTAAGGTAAACATACCAAATTGCGTCACTGATCTAGATTACATTACCTTAGCTTGTTCTATGTAATAAAACACAGCTGAGTAAAAGTGTCTAAAAATTGCCGGGAAGCAGTCATGATAGTGTGTTAAATGGCTCCACTGAAGTAAATATACGAAAATATGTGATTTTCCGTGAAAAGCAATTTCAAAAGTTTATATCAAAGATCTGTCACTTTTGCCTATTTTCGACTGAATTTGCTTCTGAATGATTACTAACCTATGAAATGACGTTGCATAATGTGAAAAATGAGATATTTTTGGGTAGTAATATAAAGTGTTTTGTACGATTAAAATATAATAAAAGATGGTAAAAAGGTATAATATTATAAAGTTGTATAGTTTTTATACAATATAATATTATATAATATAAAGTGGCGTCACATTTGGTACATAATCAATGGCATAAATTGGAATCTACAACTTCTTGGGGACATTTGCAGCTCATACTTAATATTTTTATATAAATAAATATATTATATTTATATAAATAAATAATCTTGTTTATTTCTAATTTGTATGTGTTTTCGTGAATTTATAATAATAACTTTTGATAAGACTCATAGTTTCACCTAATACCACTTTTCTTTTTCAAAAGTAAACTCTCAAAAATTAGTTTTTGCTTAAAGTGGCGTAATTCGGTACGTTTACACGGCTTTCCTACGATAAGATGCGGTCGTTACTCGGAACATATAACGCCAAATAAAAAGAACGTTCGTGCAATTATGTTGTCGTATACCGCGAAGTTTATTCGTTCATCGTGTGATTTGTATCATCGTCATCAAATGTATGCATTAAATTTGCGTTTGAACAGCAAAATCTTAACTTTACGACGCGGGACGCGAAGAATTTTGCTCGTCTCCATCAACGACGCGAGTCAATAATTTATAGAAAGATACGCGGGATTACATGTGCAGCGACCAACATAAACATAAACATCAATTAATTACGAAAATAAATATTAATTATGCGCGATACATAATACGATGTAACATGAATATTGATACGAATTCACTTCCGCGTGCATTCTCATTAAATTATTTAAACGCGACGCATAGCTGTATACACAAATTAAGGTAAAATGTTTATTTGAACGCCGATATTCGCCGAACATCAACCCCTCCTCCGATGTCTCCTTATTGAACGGAAGATTCACGCGCACATTTTCGTCTTCGTGAGAAACTTTTCTCCACCGTAGTGCATTGACTTTGAAGATTCGAGATCGTCTCGAGATTCTGGGGCCCTCTTAAAACATTGCATGCACGTATATTTCGCTGCGGACTTACGCGTGTAGCGGGCGTTTTTCCGTGAACTTCGCGGGAGTTTGGTCATTTAGTAAAATCGCAATAAATCGATAACTACTTCGTTTTTCTCAACGAAACTTTTTTTATTTTACACTTAAATGCTCTACGATTATTTAAAAAAAAGAACGACATTTTTTTTGAATAAGTAAATATAGAATAGTGAACTAAAAATGAAAGGAAAATAGACAATTTTTAATTTTACTATTTATTCAAAAATATTTTTTTCATAACAACAAGTAACTAACAAACTAAAAAAAAAACTAAACTTCTAGAAAGAAACAATGGAAATCGTTGCCTAGCAACACAAACACTATACACACTTACAATGCCCATCGTATTTATTTTATACGATACCCGCTCTCCAGCACAAATCTACTAAATACGTAAATCTACTAAAAACGTAAAAGTACGTTTCCCGCATGCAATGTGTTAATATTCGTCTGACCGTGATAGTCGATTTAGAAATAAGATGGTCGCAGATAGGGAGATCAGCGAGACGTTCGTAAAATATAAAAGTCTCTAGCTCTCGTCGTTCTCTCTTTGAGAATCGGATGCAGCGACTGGCAGCGGAGAATTAAGGCCGGCAGCGGCGACCGAGGCTCGGCGGGGTGATACAAAGTTTTAATTTGACTCCGCTGCTGGCCAATAAAATCCGCTCGACTTCGACTTTGCAGCTCGTTCGGTACGTGCGACTTC